CATCTGATATAAAACATGTAGTTCAGCAGTTTAATTTCTGAAAATGCATGCATAAAACTACTTTGGGTCCCCGTACCACCCCCTGAATTATTCCCAGGGATAGTGGAGACAAGTTCCTACAAAGCACAGAGAAAGTTTTCTGTTAAAAAGAATTCAGGCCATTTCCATACCTCCCATCATTGGCACAGAGACCATTCAGTACAGCGCTCTCTACATGGGCAGTCATGGGGGAATATTGACCATTTGAAGTGACATTCTGAAACTCACGTGAACTAGAAGAATCCAATCATATTAATAAAAAAGGAGGCGATAATGATAGCTAGAAACCTGTGAGTTTGCATTGAAAAGGGGTAATTTAGGACATGGAATAAACTGCTACGTTTTGGGGGCTTACATTCCTCATTCTGTCAGACAGTGTGTACCTTTTTTTTTTAATGTAGAATTAAAACAAAAATGAATCAACCTGTCAAAAATAAACAACATAAAAAATTTACCTTGAATCCAGTACCTGGTCAAGTTTACCCAATCAGTTCCACAACTCCTCTGTCTGTGGTCTGAGTGCGGCACAGAAGCTGTACGAAGGTGAGTGTTGGAACATTTCCTAGTGGTCACTATCACTGCCCTCCTCTGCTGTGGACCTTATTGGTTCTGATCACCCGAAGTTCTCCACCCGAGGCCTCGGGATACTCAATAAACAGACACTCAGACACTAGACAAGATGGAAGTTCAAATTACTAATTTATTAGAACAAAGCAAGCATTACTATATACTTGCAAATAGAACGTTCAAGAAATAAAAGGGGTGTACTTAATCAAGCAAACAGGTTGAGACATTTTGTACAATCATCTTTTTACTGCATGTTCCTGTTTTCTTATCTACAAAGCATATGAAACGTTAAACTTGTGTCCTCAAAGGGGTATTGCAACAAGGTAGGATTTTTAATCCTTTATGGGAGGCAGCCCAGAAGGCAGACTCAAAGAACAAATGTAAGAGATGATGACAAACATTATTACTACCCCAAACCGTGGATTCGATTAGAAGAAGCTCTTATTGAAGAAAAGTTATGTCAGCTACCTTGGTTTGGTAAACTAAATCAGGCATAGGCAACCTTCGGCACTCCAGATGTTTTGGACTACACCTCCCATGATGCTTTGCTAGCATTATGGGTGTAAGAGCATTATGGGGATGTAGTCCACAACATCTGGAGTGCCGAAGCTTGCCTATCCCTGAACTAAATGATAAATTGAGTAAAATGGCCTGGAAAACTCATCCAACTATAGCCCCAACGCTGAGGATCTGGACAAAGGCGAGTAGATCCAGTGACACAGCAATATTACCAGGGCCAATGTTGCCCATTACTAATTGTAACAGAGCTCCCTGTACCCCGACTAAGTACCTCTGCCAGGGACTGCTCCCTAGGTAGAGCAGGGGATAAACCTGCCCCAGTCACCGTGGCTTGACTGGGGTCCTGGAGCCTCTCCGTCCTGGAGCAGGCTAGGGGACTAGCTCTATCCACTGCCAGGGATTGGACGACACACAGCCCTGGGAGTCCTAGTTCTTACAAGGACCACACAGATAGGGAGATCCCCAGCATGATGACCATAAACAATAAGCAGGCAAGTGAGTGAGCACATGTGGGCATGATACTCAGTGACAGCGTTCCGTCACACTAATCATATGGATTTTAAACCAGGAATAAGGAATATTGTGTTTTTTAATACTCCTATAAGAGAATTGGGTAACATTAGGCTGGGAAACAGCATTAACCCATCTACAGATGAATTGTTACCTAGAAATGTTATACTTGGACCAGACTTAAATAGCATGGTAGGATTCCTCTTTTAATCACAGTTGCGTCATTTTGTAAATTCATTTAGATCACAATTGAACCTCCCTCTTTGTTACACAAACTATGAAAAACTGTGCATAAAAAAGGAAAATGTATATACCCCCTTTCGAAAATATATAAATCTTGGCTGCCATACAGGGCCCTGAAGTACCCTGTTACTGCAGACTGTAGGAGCTAGATCTATATAATTCCCTGGATTTGGACCATGCGGAAAATGTTTTAAACTTATAAAAAAAATGTTCTAAATCTGTTAGATATCTGGAGTTTTCATATAAATTAATATCAAGATGGTACAGGGTCCCCACGGATATTCATAGATTTTGTCAGTCATTAAATAAGAGCTGTTGGAGATGTGGAAAATATGAGGGAAACCTATTACACATTACCTATTACTCCTTTTTGGAAGGGTATACAATCTACCATCATTAAAATGGGCGATACGAAAACTATCCTGACACCGGAATTGTTTTTTTTTAATCACACAGAGCTACCGATAGACATCTTTAAATAATCACCAACAATTAGGCTACTTAATGTTGCAAAATAAACTATCACTAGTAAGTGGAGGCAAAAAGTGAGGCCCTCTATAAGAGACTGAATTAGACGGATAAATAATCGTAGGGAGATTGAGGAACTGATTTATCAGGACCCTGTTGTTGTGGTTTTGAATAAAGAGAGATGGGCACAATGAGATCAATTTGTAGACTATACTTCAGAGGTTGGGATGGAAATGGAAGATGATTTTTGAACTTGAATATAAGCATGAGTAGGGATAGTTATTAGATATCGGGGTATTACCTTCTCTTTCTTTTCGTTTCTTTTCCTTTCCTTTTTTTTGTGTGATTGTAAATAAAATGGTGTAGGATTAAAATACCTTGGCTTTAGAAATGTATTAAAGATGAGAATGCACTCACAAAATTATTCTGTGTTTTTTTATTTTTTTTACTAATGTAACGTGTAAATCATAACTCCCATCAGGGCCGGTGCTAGAATTTCTGCCGCCCTAGGCAAACAAAAATTTTGCAGCCCCTTCATATGCTGTGTCCACCATGTGACATCACAATGTCCCACCCATATGATCTGCTATATGAGCTAACGCCAGTGCTGCACACAGTGTCTTTTCTCTGAAAAGGCAGTGTGTTTACATAAAAAAAAAAAAAACAGGCTATTGACAACAGGCTACTGCTCACTGAGAGAGAACTTCCTGTAAGTCCGGCCGGGCACAGGAAGCTCATGTACCGAGGTCCGTGCCCGGCCATGCTACTCAGAGTGACTGGAAGGAGCGAACGTTGTGCGCTTCCCTTCTGCCGAGTCACTCATATCCTACGCCCCCAGAGCTGGTGCGCCTTAAAGGACGCTCCGGCCCTGGTGTCATCCTCCCGTGATGCACACCCTGGTGCGGTCCTCACCCCTCTTTTGATGCCACTGCGTATATATAGATTTTTTTCTCTCTTTTTTTTTTTCTCTTTCTCTCCTTTTTCCTTCTCTCCTCTTGGTTTTCTACCAATCCCCTCTCCCTCCCACCTTTCCCCACTATGCTCTTTACGAGGGACAGAATAGGATTGATTAGGGTTATAGTAGGGGTTAGGTTAGGGATGTGTATGGGGTCTGAGTAGGGAGAGAGTGAGTTTTAATTTGAGTTAGTAGTAGGGAGAGAAGAGTTCTCTTCTCCTGTGTCCTACTCTCTCATTTTCCCTCCCCTTTTTTTTGTTTTATGTATTTTTCCTTTTCCTCCCCTTCCGACCCGTGATATAAAATGTTTGATCACCATTTTTTGTTCTCTATTCATTTATATTAGAAATGCGATTGATGACGAGCTTAATTTAGTTGAATATGTGAATTTATATTTGATTTGACTTGTAAAGAGTTGCGTTCTCTGTATTTGAAGCTGCCAAGGGAAATAAAGATTTAAAAAAAAAAAAAAGATTTTTTTTAATCAAATCTATAAAAAAAAAGACATAATTTTTGCACAGAACTGACATTACGCATCCTGAAACAGCTGATTCAAGTTGAATCACTGTACATAAAGATTCCTTCCTCCACAAACACTTTTAAAAGCAGACATGGTCATGGTTGTTGGAGTAACCGTTTAAAACTACAATACATGTGTTTCGAAATCAATCCGAACAACAATACATTGTTCTTGTTTTTAATTATATTTTAGGTAATTAAATTGTTATTAGTAAGTGACCTAAAACTTCTCGGAACCCCCACTCACACCCCTAAAATAAAGTTGTGCATATTTGTCCATTTGACAGGTTGGGAGTTTTGCACTATGTGACAGAATGTTATCAATTTTACAAACATAACAATTTGTCAATCATGTGGCTTGATGTAGATTTTTTTTTAAAGTATAATAACTTTTTTTTTTTTTTTGCAGTGCATAGGATAGTTACATACAAACCTGAGGTACCCCAACGGCAATCCTGTGTCCCCATAACTATAACTTTTATATTGTGAGAAACACGAGTAAATGCAAGAAACAAAAGTTTAATAACTTTATTTTATACAATAACTGCATTTGTTTTCTATTATCATTGCATTGTCTTTAATTCTAACTCTTCTAATGCTTGTGGTCAACAGTTATATATATATATATATATATATATATATATATATATATATAATGTTCCTCTTTGTCCTTGCACACACACTTTTTAAAATTTTTCAAAATGCCGGGTGCATTCTAACCACAGATTATAATAAAAATAGTGAAATGCTTGCACTCACGGTCTTTTTCCTTTGTAATAGATTCCTTTATTTCATTCCTTGTTAAAATATGATCAACGTTTCAGCCATCATTCATGGCTTTCATCAGGATCAATTCAGCATATTTTAACAAGGAATGAAATAAAGGAATATTTTACAATGTAAAAAGACAGTGAGTGCAAGCCTTTCACTATTTTTATTATATATATATATTGTTATATATATATTCTATATAATTTGTAACATTATTTAAGTTTACAATAATGTTTATTTCTTCTCTTGCATTAATGTTCCAGAAACCATTGCTGGTATCTAAGCATGTCTAACAATACCGATATATTCATGTTATTTTTATTAATGTTTTTTTTTTTTTTTTTATGTGAATCCAGCCGTCACCCGGAACCATATTCGCGGCTTCACGCGCAGCCGGAACCTTATGCGAGTGACACCGAGCTGCAGTAGCAGATTGCGGAAGTAGCGTGGAGCAGCCTTGGCTTGGATTGTGAGTTTGTTTACAGGGGATGTGCATGCTCAGCCTCCAGTCTCAGAGCATTTATCCAGGATTAGGATGCAACTACAAATGTTATAGCACGTTAATAGCCTATTACATTATAGGAATGCCCATTGTAGTCAATGCTAAGTAACTTTACAAACTCCTGTAATCTAGATACCAAGGGGTTTAAGGAACTACAGCTCCCTAGATGGATTTTCTCTATAAAGACTGGCAGAGCATCATGGGAGTTGTAGTTCCACAGCATGGGTATTGGGTAAGCTACACCTGGTCATCATCTAAAATATTATCTGTTAGAGTTTTGCCAGGGGTTAGTCAAATGATGGACACCTGGCTGCTGCAGTAGCCACAAAGATTTACTCATAGGATTCTGCTCCAGCTAGACATTGTTTTGGGCACCTTAATACATACTTGGCAATGTTAATTGTTAATTCTGCTGAGAGAGAAGTGGGAGGTTAAAATCAACATTGTGGACTCTTGTGTAAAATATCAAGTAATATTCTGTTCTCTACATAGTTGCATTGTTAGATTAATTATAACTGTGTATCCAACATATATTTACCTTTTACGAAATGTTCACCAGCCATTATTAATATTATTGGGCTCTAGCTAGAGTTATATCTGCTGTTCTAGAGAGCCCAGACTGATATTTGTGAGAGATTTCAGTTATTCTCCCCCTCCTCCTCCATTTCATATTGGAATACATAAATGTATGGATAATACATTTAACAATTTGGAAATAAAGGATAGTTTTATGGCAAGAAATGTTTAAGTGGATGAGATTCCTAGTGCAAGTCATATGATTGCCTACAGCAGACAGTGGCAGATTCAGGTGAATTTGAGTCTTACTGGAAGCTGGTGCTAACTGAGGTATCATTCATTCCCCACTATGTTCCCAAATGCATGCATCCAAGTTGCTAATAAATTGCCAGGCAACCTACCGAGTAAGCCTGCTAAACATAAAAGGAAAAAAGGGGCATATGTGCTCAACTTTAATATATGTCACAAATCTTGTTGTGCTCCTCCCAAGTTTGGCAGCAGAGATGGGCCATCCTATGTTAAGCACCTCTTACAAGTTGATTACCCTAATGGGTCTTTGCACTATGTATCTAGAGAGTTTGCAATCAAATATATGTGTGTGTATATATTTCATGAGTTTCTAAGACTTGGGCAGGAGGAGGTTTGGGAGCAAAAGGTAAATTTATTTTAGTACTTCTCTTATGGTCTGATTAATTATAGTATCCCTTACATCTGTTTGCACTTGGTGACCATAACTTCTTATTATGTTCTTTTTTTTCTTAGGGCATGCCTGCCACAGCTTTGTTTTGTTTTAATGACTTGACTTGGAATTGTTTATTGTCCCCTTATTCTTAATCTACCCTTCATTCTTTGTGACTCTAGAACATTAAAGCCCAACCTTGACCCCCAACTCCCCATCCAACTACTGCCCTATATCGCTACTGCCATTTGCCTCCATGATCCTTGAGAGAGTTGTGTATGCGAGATTGACACACTTCATCGAATCCAACTCTCTGCTTGACCTGTTTCAGTCTGGATTCCGCGCTCGTCACTCTGTTGAAACAGCTGTGACCAAAGTATCCAACAATTTAATCACTCTTAAATCTCGCGGCCATTGCTCTATCCTAATTCTCCTTGATCTTTCTGCTGCCTTTGGCACTGTTGATCATCAACAGCATCTTCTCATTCTCCATAATCTCAGTCTACAAGATTCTGCTCTCTCCTGGTGCTCCTCCTACCTCTCCCAGCGGTTTTTCATTGTTTCTTTCTCTGGCCTTGCCTCTTCTCCCCAATCCGTCTCTTTTGGCATTCCCCAAGGTTCTGTCCTTGGTCCCCTACTGTTCTCTATCGACACTGCCTACCTTGGTAAACTCATCAGCTCCTTTGGCTTCCATTATCATTTATATGCAGATGAGACACAAATCTACCTGTCCTGATCTCTCTCTGCCCATCTTGACTCGTGTCTCTGACTGCCTCTCTGCGATTTCCAACTGGATGGCTGCTCACTTCCTTAAACTCAACCTGTCCAAAACAGAACTTCTGGTCTTTCCTCCCGCTGCAATCTATAATGAATGCGGTGTCAAGGCTCATTTTCCTGTCCGCCCGCACCTCCCCCCTCTGTCAGTCCCTACATTGGCTTCCAGTTAGAAATAGAGTTAAATTTAAGATTCTGGTGCTTGCTTACAAGTCCCTTCATCAGGGCTTGATAAATTTGTTTGGAATCTAGGAGCCAGCTAAAAAAGTTAGGAGCCAGTTTTTTTTTTGTTTTGTTTTTAGGGGACATTATAGTCACCAGAACCACTACAGATGAATGTAGTTATTCTGGTGTGTATAGCCTGTCCCTGTAGCCTTTTAAATGTAAATGCTGCCTTTTCAGACCTACTAAGACCTCTAGTGACAGTCACTCAGCCACTAGAGAGTCCTGTGTCAGTGCTCTGCATGGAGGCGCGAATGTTACCCATAGAGAACATGCATAATATCCTCCCAATGCTTTACTATGGAAAAGCATTGGCTAGCTGAGATCGTTAAGATCAGCTATGGAGGCGGGACAAGCCACGACAAAACCAGCACGGCGTGGGAAAAAATGTGATGTGATCGGAGGGCAGCAGGTACCTAAACAGACACACACTCTCTCACAGACATACAAACTAACAGACAGACATACACATGTACACACATTGACAGAGGCCTACACACACACACACACATGTATACACAGACATATACAAACACACACACACTGTCCCTAACACTAACAAATTTATATTTTTAATTCTAATCCACCCAACCTCCCTACCTTTGGGAGAGCTGAGTGGACTTTCCCTGGGGTCCAGTGGGGTTATCTTCTTCCTGGGTGCAGGGAGCAGTGATCTTCCTGCAGCTCCTCTCTGCTCCCTCGCACTGTCTGCAGTGATGCCGGGGCCGGAATGACATCATATTCCTGCTCCCGGCATTGTTACACAGCACAAGGGAGCAAAGAGGAGCTGCAGGAAGACTGCTCCCTCGCGCGCTGCCCCAGCCTGCCACCTCTATGCTCTCCAGGGTGGTCTGCTACATGCTCCCTGAGCCGGCCGCCTCCATACAGCCAAGGGGGGACGGCTACAAAGCTCCCTGAGCCGGCCGCCTCCATACAGCCCAGGGCCGGCGGCTACAAAGCTCCCTGAGCCGGCCGCCTCCATGCTCCCGCTGGCGGGCAGCCGGCTGGCTCCGTTGTTGCTGACAAATCCCAGGTGCCAGGGAAAAATTTCTAGACGCCCTGGCGCATGGGATTTGTCGAGTCCTGCCCTACATAATGCTGCTCCAACCTACCTATCCTCCCTAATACACAAGTATGTCACGTTGAGGCCCCTGTGCTCTGCCGAAAAACTACATCTATCCTCTGTCTGTACTCCCACATCTGATGCTCGCCTCCAAGACTTCTCCAGGGCTGCACCTTTTCTGTGGAACTCCCTTCCCTTCTCCGTAAGACTTTCACCCAGTCTCCACTCCTTCAAAAAATCTTTGAAAACACTTCAGGAAAGCATAGAATTTAAACTGTTAGCGGATTTTCACAAATCCTTGAATGCACGAATCCAGTGAATACTTTTCTAGCAACCTATTTCATTACCCCTACGTATACCCTTTGTGTCACTATACCCCACTCCCTCTAGCATGTAAGCTCATTGAGCAGGGCCCTCAACCTATCTGTTCCTGTACGTCCATTTGTCTGGTTACAGTTATGTGTCTGTTAGCATAAGGCTACGGAATTTGCTGGCACTATACAAATAATAAAATAATAATAATTAAAGGCAGTACAGATTGTAAAAAGTATTTGTATGACCAACTGCCAGAGATGCTATACGGCTGATTCCCTGTCTGACTCGGCATCTAACTGTATAGGTTGTTCAACTATACCATGTGGTCCATCCATTTTGGAGTGTTCTACCCAGAGGCAGGGGAACAACTTCCCATAAGGAATATGTCCAGGCAGCAGAGAAGCCATTTATCAAATATCGTTATGAAAAATGTTCACTGAAAAAAAGAGCTCTACATATACTGTGTGATTTGTATGATCTCCTCAACCTAAGATTCAAGTTGCTGTGTGATGTACATAATATTAAGCCCTGTTTTGTTATTTGTAAAATATTTATTTTTATATAAATTATTATTTATACAGATTTTGTGAGCATCAGTTAGTAGGCAAGACCATTTCATGGTATTTATTTGCTAACTTGTTCTTCATCCAGCCACCTTACTTTTTGTGTGTGTGGTTTTTTTTTTGTAGTGCCTGGCTATGAAGTGCTTTTTGAAAAGTGTTGATGGAAGACATGATCCCATTCCTCTTCCCGATGGTGTTGAAGTTATTCTTGGGAGAGGACCACAAACTTGTATAACCGACAGGAAATGTTCTAAAGAACAAGGTAGGCCTTTGGCATATTATCATTACTTTCTTTAATTTTACATTAATTTCTCCTAGTTTCATTAGAAAAGTTTGTTTTTATAGAACAGAATATATAAAGAAATTTAAAGCCCCTATTAAATCCTCAACACATGGGGGAACCTGATAAACACCTCACCTTATTGGACACGCTGTTTTGTTTGCTTGGAGCGGCTTCTATACCCTCCAAATAAATGTGAATGTTATTTATTAAATCATATATATTTTAAAAAGGATAGTGAAGTTAGAATAGTCGAGGTGGTAGGATGAAGTGAAATAAGTGAGAACCATTTTGGATAATGGACATAAAGAATCATAGTCAGTAAAAACAAGTTTAAACATATTTTTCATGTTTTGGATAAAATTGCAAAAGGAAGTTTACAAATTACACATATTGCTTCTTCATCCTGAACCCCATCTTATAGTTGAGGTGTAGAGGGTTTACTCAAAATAAAAATCAAACAAAAAACAACTGTTTATGCTACACTAAAAGGTTTCTCCAGCCCTTCTTCTTTATGAAACCAGTATTTTCATTTAGAATGCCCTCTTGAGATCCTCTCTTTACATAGTTATAAAACAAAGTATAAACTTACCCTGAATCATGGTTTCCATGCCTATGTCGGCCACAGCTCCCTTGCGCATGCACACACTCTTTCTTTAGTGGGGATAACCGAGGGAGAGAGAGAAAATTGGAGGAATTCGAGTAAATGCAGGGAGGCAGTCATGCCGGGAGGACAGCTTAAATGAAAGAAGGGAAAGAAAAGCAAGCTTTCCCCTACATGGAACTGCATAAGATGTAGACGCTCATTACGTCTGTTGCCAGTATGCAACTAGTCACAGGCACAAAAGTAAACATTACTGCCATGACCACTTCTAAAAGCAGACATGGTGATAGGGGTTGGTGTAATCCTTTAAACAGTCATACTAAAGGTTTGCAGAAGCCAGTCACTAAGTGTGCCACGGTGTGTAGGGCCATATCTTGCTGTGCTTCTAATCTTTATTGCAGTGATTATCATTTTCTCCAATTTGTCCTCATCTGGAGCAGGTTAGAGTTGTTGTCAGTAACTGTTACAGAGGCATAGATTTTCCTTTCCTGATCTGTATAAATTGTAAGCCTTCTGAAAAGGTTTGACATATATTATATACATATATCTCATATTTCTTAAAACTTCATTCTGGGTTTAACAAGCGTAGACATGTATTAAATATTTAATCAGTAGAGTCATATATCTGTTATTAAATGCATAATCTATGTATAAAATGGCATACGTGCGCAAACTAAATTATGGAAGCACAAATTCTAAAGGTTACAGTTAATGTAATGGGAAAATAAGTCATTTTCCTGCAACAACCTATTCAAGTAAAACCATCTATGAGCATTAAAGGGACACTATAGTCACCAGAACAACTACAGTTTCATCATGTTGTTGTTGTTCTGGGGTCTATATGTCTTTATGTCCCTGCTGGCATTTTAATGTAAACACAGTCTTTTCAGGGAAAATGCTGTGTTTACACAACAGTCTAGGACAGGGGTAGGCAACCTTCGGCACTCCAGGTGTTGTGGACAACACCCCCCATAATGCTGGCATCATGGGAGGTGTAGTCCAAAACATCTGTCATGCCGAAGGTTGTCTATGCCTGGCCTAGGGATACCTCCAGTGGCAAGCACTCAAATGGCCACTAGAGGTGCTTACTGGATCAGTGTCTCCACGCTCGGCATGGAGGCGCTAAACTTTCCCCATAGAGATGCATTGATTCACAGCGTCTCTATGAGGAGATGCTGTTTTGTTCTGACCCCAGCTCCAATCCTTGGCTGAGATCATCAGAATTGACAATCTCAGCCAATCCAATGCTTTCCTATGGGAAAGCATTGTGATTGGCTGAAATCATAAATTCTGATGATGTTAAGGTAGCAAAAGGACCCAAAAATATAGTTTAACACAATATGGTCAGGAATACATGTTTGTGTTCCTGACCCTATAGTTTTCCTTTAATCAAAAGATTCTTAATAATTTACGGTACTCCCTGTTAGATTTTATTTTTAGGACACCCATATTAACACCTTTCTCTCCAAATAAAATGTAATTAGCTTCAAAATATTTAAGAAAACCAAAATTTGCCTTTCTTTGCTGCTGTAATTGTGACTGTTACCAAGGCCCGACTGTTGTATATCCCATAACCATGTATGAAAACAAAGAGAGGCTTCCAAAAATATCCAACATCTATCTGCAAAACAATTGGAGCTCCTGTGCTATGTGCAATCACCTTCCAAATAAATAGTCTAGATTTCTGTTATGCTTGCTTTTAGTTAAATTTTTGTTTGTTTTTTTTTGCACAAGTTTCATTAGCCTTGATTTCCATTTACTCAAGTGCTTCTCATTCATAGGTTCTTATTGCTCATAAATAAACTAATTGGTCAACATGTATTTATAAACCAGGTGAGGATTTTGGTGCAGTGAGTTTCGACCATTTATAATGAATAGGTTTATGGACAAGATACTCTACACAGTGTTACCTACGGAAAGAACGTAGATAGTTATGGTGATTCGAGTGCCCCTTTAATGATTTATGAAAGTTTGATGTTGGACACATTCTTTTTATTCATTTACACCGCAATATACATTTTTAAAATTTATTTTTTATTACAGTTGAGCTTGTGGCGAATTTTGAGAAACGAGTGATACGTGTCAAACAGGTAAGGGTTAATATTTCAGGTTAGTAGATTACTTTTTTTTAAGATATGTTTTCAAAGAATACTCAGTCAAGAGAAAGTTGCTACTTAGTGGCATCTTGCAGCATGAGTATGATTGGGTGCAGAAGCAGACAGTTATTGCTAGACAAATAGCTGACTGTGGTTTGTAGACTATTTGTACACATTTGTAGACAAAGCACTAATACTGTATTTAGTACTGCTTATGGCAAAAGCTCAGGAGTGCTTTCGAAAATTTAGTGACATCAATTACTTCCTGGATTGGTGGAATGCCATCATTAATCACGCAAGCCTTGGTTTATACAAAAAAACCGCGATACATCAATCGAGGTATCTTTTTATTTTTTTATATAAAAAAATATAATGAATCCAGCCTGAATGTCCTTTTAAAGGGACACTGCAGGCACCTTAAACAGTTTAGCTTATTGAAGTAGTAATAGAGGAATAGTATTTTATTTCAGTTGTCAGCCTGCTAAAATGAGGCTTTAAACTGGAGTTCATAACTATCTCGACAAACCCTGATGAACTGCATTGTTATAAATCCTCAGACTTAACAAATCCTGCAATAAGCACTGCACATTCCGTGGGCTGTAGTGGTTATGGTGCTTTTACTGACCCTTTAATACAAGCATGTCAAACTCAAAGTCTGGATCGGCCACATAAACCAGGTTTAAGTTTATGTGGGATGCAAAAAAAAAAAAAAATTACTTTAAAAAGTTCAGTATAACCCCCGCCTCCCCCAGCATCCCCCTCTACTAAACCACAGCACCCCTCTACCATCCTGTGCCAAATCTGATCCTCCCGCTGACACACACGCATACTCACTGACAGACAGACAGACACAGACAGACAGACACAGACAGACACAGACACAGACAGACACAGACACAGACAGACAGACACAGACAGACAGACAGACACAGACAGACAGACACAGACAGACAGACACAGACAGACAGACACAGACAGACAGACACAGACAGACAGAGACAGAGACAGACAGAGACAGACAGACAGAGACAGACAGAGACAGACAGAGACAGACAGAGACAGACAGAGACAGACAGAGACAGACAGACAGAGACAGACAGACAGAGACAGACAGACAGAGACAGACAGACAGAGACAGACAGACAGAGACAGACAGACAGAGACAGACAGACAGAGACAGACAGACAGACACACACAGACAGACAGACAGAGACAGACAGACAGACAGAGACAGACAGACAGACAGAGACAGACAGACAGACAGAGACAGACAGAGACAGACAGAGACAGACAGACAGAGACAGACAGACAGACAGAGACAGACAGACAGACAGAGACAGACAGACAGAGACAGACAGAGACAGACAGACAGAGACAGACAGAGACAGACAGACAGAGACAGACAGACACACACAGACAGACACACACAGACAGACACCGACAGACACACACACCCCTCTACCACCCTGTGCCAAATCTGATCCTCCCGCTGATTCACGCATACTCACTGACAGACAGACACACACACACTGACAGACACACACTCTGACAGACACACACTCTGACACAGACACACACTCTGACACAGACACACACACTGACAGACACACACACTGACAGACACACACTCTGACAGACACACACTCTGACAGACACAGACACACACACTGACTGACACAGACACACACACTGACTGACACAGACACACACACTGACTGACACAGACACACTCACTGACTGACACTCACTGACAGACACACACATACTCACTGACAGACAGGCACACACACTTGCACACACATACTTTTCATTATTGCTCCTTACCTAATGCAGCCGATGTGGGGATCTCCCTAGGGTCCTTCCAGCTCCTCACTGCCTACTCTGCGATAACACTGAGCATTCACTCGCCGGGCCGCAAAGATGGTGCTTGTGGGCATGCTTGCTTTAATAGTTACTGACCATGAACTCCTGCAAAGTTTTATGATGGATTTACAATCCTTTTTTTAGTTACTTATTTAAACAGCTGTTAAAAATTCGTGTCAGCCTGTTGCAGTGGTAATGGTTACAGGGTACCATTCCTGCAATCTTTCATTTCAGTTTTTTATAAACCTCATAAAAGTGAACTTTAAATTGGTGTTCATAACAGCATCTACAAGCCTTGTTAAACTGCGTCCCCAGACTTTACAAATCCTGCTATAAGCACTTCCCTGTCAGCAAGTGATCAGCCTATTAGGATACACCAGTAGCCAGTGTTGACCTTACCCTGTAAATTCCTACATTATAAGGTTTTGTTTGGTGCTTGTGGGAGTTGTAGTTCAGTTAGGAGCAAATCAGCAGCAACCTTTGCTGTGCTTCCTGATTAACTGGTTCCTGCTGTATCTTCTATGCTGCCGGTTGATGTGTATCCAGGCTTTGCAGAAGCCGGTTGCTGACTCCATTATTATTATTTGTGTGTGTGTGTGTGTGTGTGTGTGTGTGTGTGTGTATATATATATGTGTGTGTGTGTATATATATATATATATATATATATATATATATACACACACATTTAAAAAAAAATTTTTTTTTATCTGTTTATAAATGACTCAATTATCTGGGGTGGCAAGACATAGCCATACATATTATTGGTATATTTTTCTAATTTAAAATATTGATCTTTTCAGGGAAATTAACAGTAAGCATACTCACATGCAGACACAGACATTCTCATTGACACACAGGCTCACAGACAATCTCATTGATATACATAATCTCATTGACATAAAAACACAAGTTCACATAAAAACACAAGACACACACACACACAAGCTCACTCACTAGCAGACACACACACACACAAGCTCACTCACTAGCAGACACACACACACACAAGCTCACTCACTAGCAGACACACACTCAAGCTCACTCACTAGCAGACACACACACAAGCTCACTCACTAGCAGACACACACACAAGCTCACTCACTAGCAGACACACACACATGCTCACTCACTAGCTGACACACATGCTCACTCACTAGCAGACACACACACACATGCTCACTCACTAGCAGACACACACACACACAAGCTCACTCACTAGCAGACACACACACACACACACACAAGCTCACCAATCAGTGGTGTATTTTGGATCTGTGCTGCCCTAGGCATGACGGAATTTGGGTATTTTGGATTTGTGCTTTGACACAATCTGACAGACACACACAATCACTCACACACACACACATATTCACTGACAGACACACTCACTCACAGACACATACTTAGACACACAAGCTCCCTCACAGACACACACACTCACAGACACACTTACAGACAGACACACACACACACAGGCACCCTCACAGACACACACAATCACTCAGACACACACTGACAGACCTACTCACTCTCACTCAGACACAAACACTCACTCACAGACACACACAATCACTCAGATACACACTGACAGACATACAGAAACACTGACAGACCACTGACAGCCATACACACACACACACACACACTGCCAGCCAGCTAGACACGCACACACTGCCAGCCAGACACACACACACTGCCAGCCAGACACACACACACTGCCAGCCAGACACACACACACTGCTAGCCAGACACACACACACTGCCAGCCAGCTACACCCACACACACTGCCAGCCAGCTAGACACATACACACTGCCAGCCAGCCAGCTAGACACACACACACTGCCAGCCAGCTAGACACATACATACTGCCAGCCAGTCAGCTAGAGACACACACACACATACTGCCAGCCAGACACCGACACACACACACACACGTGTCTTCCTGTTTTAAATCTGATTACTCTCAGTGCTGTATGTGGCTGGGTGTCATTACTGCAATATAGCAAACACAATGGCTAAAAGTCTTAAAAATCACTATTGAGCTTGTTATGGTGCCACATACAATGGATCTGTCATTTTTATTATGTTCTTCATTTTGTGATGATTTTTTTTTTCTACTTTTAATCTGTCTCATTTTCAAGTTTAAATATAGTGACTATCTTGTCTTATAACATTTCTTTCTGAAGGCGAACATAAAATGTAATAAACTCCCAGCGCCTGATTTTTTTTTTTCTTTTCACTTACCAAACCCATTATGTATATAGCATCCTTCAGCTAGAAAGATATGAGAGGAGTTTTAACAATCAATCTCTTTACAGCGCAGCATGTATGGATTGTGAAACAGGATATAGTAGAAATGTGTCAGCATTTTTGTTGTAGATAATCTGTATTCAAAGTTCATCTTACAAATAAAAAAGAAGCAGACTCTTTCAATGGTAGATAATACAAGAGATAACAATAAGTATGTGAGTGTGTGGAGGTAGGAAGGGCAGGGAGTAGAATGAGCACACATACAGTGTTATTCACAAAAGGGTGAATTGGAATGGAATTTAAGGTGACTTTCAGATTTCTGGTAAAAGTAGCCAAAATGGAAACCTTCTCTTACCTATGCTTCTAATTCAGCTACTTTAGCCTTAAATTTAAAATTCTCTTTGAATTCACTTAAAATTATCACTTAAAGGACCACTATAGGCACCCAGATTACTTCAGCTCAATGTAGTGGTCTGGGTGCCAGGTCACACTAGTTTTAACCAAGCAGCTGTAAACATAGCAGTTTTTGAGAAACTGCTATGTTTACATTGAGGGTTAACAACAGCCATTACAGCCCCCTTCCGAGATCCTCAATGGGAAAATCACATTGAGGACAAGCTGACGTCCATAGGAAAGCATTGAGTAATGCTTTCCTATGGGCGGTTTGAATGCGCGTGCGGCTCTGGCCGCACATGCGCATTCGGAACCGACATCGGCAGGGGGAGGAAAGGTAATCGGCGCTGGATTAAGGTTAGTGGCTGAAGGGGTTTTAACCCATTCAGCCCAGCAGGAGGGGGGCCCTGAGGGAGGGGGCGAACCTAATAACCGTATAATGCCAGGAAGATGAGTTTGTTTTCCTGGCACTATAGTGCTCCTTTAAGTGAATAACCCTTATAGTCTACAAGAGCATCAATCGTTGTTCCCAAAAACAGCTAAAAAAATTTTTTTTTTAAAGTTCCAATATTAAAAACCAAGCAGTGCTATCACTCACCAATCAGGTGCTTTATATGTAGGTAACCCTGTATTGTAACATCTGCAGGAGGTGTACTTTTGGCAGCTGATGTATATCTCTCCTTGTAGCTTGCAGGAAACCCAACAATGGTTGGAGAGGTAAGGCTGAAGAAGGGGGAGAGTGCGTTGATGAAAGAAGATCAGGTTCTTCTCATGGTAAATTCCCTTCACCCGTACACCATGGTCTTTGAAGAAGACAATACCAAGGAACCAACTACCTCTAGGAAATCCAGAGCGCCTGCTAAAGTTCCGAAGCCTCCAGCTCATACTGGATCGCCAAGGAAGACAATAGTAGATTTCTTTGGTGCCTCTGCATCTGAAGGTCAAAAGCGGCGTCCTCGAGGTGAAGAAAATTCCAAACCTGTCAGCAAGAAGCCAAAGTATCAAGAAAATGCTTCAGAGGCTACAGAAAAACAAGAAGATTCAGACGATGAAGAGGAGATTGCTAAGAAACTGAAAGACCTGCAGGAGACTGCGGCCAAGGCCAATATGACAAAAATAAGTACGAGCCAGACATCGTCTGAGGTATCGAGAGGAAATCCATGCAGCAAGGATTCCTGGGAGGAACACGGAAAACTTCTGGTGTTTAGCAAGAAAGGTGTTCAGGCCTCTTCCAAGGTACCAGATAGTCAGCTTCCCTTTAAAACTGAAGTGAAATAAATTTGTATCTCTTTTTAAATATAATAGGCAGTATATTATGATATCTAGTGTATAAGACTTATTCCTGTAACATTTTGTAAGTATCTCAATTATTGTTAAATCTCTTCCTCTTATAATATCGTAAAGCGCTATGGAATATGTTGGCGCTATATAAATACCGATATAATAATAATTAGACGTGTCATAGAAGACTGTAGAAGAGGCCACAGAACTATTTAATGTAGCTAGATAGCCCATGGTTTATCCATTTATTCCTTAGTCACACTTTAAAAAAAAATAAAAAAAAAAATTGTGTGTTAGCATGAGTTAAGAACCTAGTTGTTCAGAAGCCACAAAACCTGGTGCTCCACTTTCTACCAAAACTCATGAGGTTTTAGAGGCAAATAGTGATAACTTGTAAATGTTAGTACATAAACCCCAAGGTCTAACTATAATCATTCCTATTGGGGAAAAATTGGGTTAGATTTATAAAAATTGTCCCTACCAAAAAAAAGTGGGACAGAGTACTAAAAGTGCAACAATCACAGTGGAAGCAAATTGAGCATTCCTTGTGATTTTTGTTTTCATGTTGTTACAACTTTGGCAGGCTTTTCTGTTACTGCACTTTAAAAAAATAAAAACTTCATTGTATCTGATTCCTGTTCAACATTCTAGCTTTTATGTTCTGTGATCAAACTTTGTCATAAGCAAACACCTTAAAGGACCACTCTAGGCACCCAGACCACTTCAGCTTAATGAAGTGGTCTGGTTGCCAGGTCCCTCTAGGATTAAGCAATTTGTTTATAAACATAGTTTCAGAGAAACTGCTATGTTTATAAATGGGTTAATCCAGCCTCTAAAGCCTCTAGTGGCTGTCTCATTGACAGCCGCTAGAGGCGTTTTCGTGCTTCTCACTGTGAAAATCACAGTGAGAAGACGCCAGCGTCCATAGGAAAGCATTATCAATGCTTTCCTATGAGACTGGCTGAATGCGCGCGCAGCTCCTGCCGCGCATGCACATTCAGCCGACGAGGAGGAGAGCTCCCCGCCCGGCGCTGGAAAAAAGGTAAGATTTAACCCTTCCCTCGACATCCAGCCCGGCGGGAGTGAGACCCTGAGGGTGGGGGCACCCTCAGGGCACTATAGTGCCAGGAAAACGAGTATGTTTTTCTGGCACTATAGTGGTCCTTTAATATTTTTTTGTCTTTCACGTACCAGATACAGGTTCATTCATTGCCTAAAAAGCAATTAGTAAATTTGAATAACTAATAATTTCTTTTTAATATCTTACTTGGACTACTAGCTGTTGAAATACTTAGGTACCACATTTAATTTTTTAGGCTGTACTCCCAGAACGAAATGATCTGTTTTTTTTGTCCTGCAGATTGCGGGGTTTGACATTGATGGAACAATAATTACTACCAAATCAGGAAAAGTCTTCCCCACCAGCCCTGATGATTGGAGGTAAGAAGATCTTCCTTGAAGTTAATAAAAAAAAAACACTAAACAGATTAACAATCTGCTCACACATTTAGACAGGTATGTGTGCATTCTTCAGTGAAGGATTTTTATTTTTTTTAATGTGGCGTTCTCTTTTGATCAAACAGAATTTTATATCCAGAGGTTCCAAGAAAATTGAAAGAGCTCCTGGTTGAAGGATATAAGGTGTGTCTCCTAGCTTTTCATTCCTGTTCGTCCAAACGTAACTCTGCGGTTCTATTTACTTCTCAGTAATTTAGCTCCTTCCTTGTTGTCCTTAGGTGGTCTTCATTACTAATCAGATGGGAATTAGCCGTGGTAAACTGCGCCCCGAAGTTTTTAAAGCCAAAGCTGAAGCAATTTTAGATAAATTGGGAATTCCTGTACAGGTATGTGCAAACTGTTCTACACACTTCAGAATTTTGATTTCATAAATGACTCTATAAATAAATGCAGTTTTTATGAAATGAGCAAGACCCTCCACTCTAGAAATGAGCCCAATTTTTTTTAATGCATTATATAGATATTGCCTTAAAGTGATGGGTATTATACAATAAACGTCTTTGCCATATCATGTAATGGACATTATGGATATGTAGTTAAGCCCGTAATAGTAGTTCTTTTTAAGGGACACTGTAGGCACTATAACTGCTTTATCTCATTAAAGTACTTATAGTGTTTAGAGTCCTCTGGTGCCCTCCTTCCACTCAGTGTTAAACAATTTTTAATGTTTTAATCCTAAGCGAGAATCCCCTGCTGTCTGTCCCCTTTGTACTGCTTGGGCTACAGAAGCCAGAATGGGTTAACGAAGATGCAGCTGACTGCTTTCAGTCTATCACAGCACTCGTTGGTGGAATGAATCGGTATGGCTAGAATGTCTGCCTTAGCCAGTCTACCAGTAGGGGCCAGGTTGTGAGTGGCCATCAACCACTTTCTAGTAAAAAACTGTCTGAGAATTGTTTCACACTGAATGGAAGGACATTGACAGGGGACTGCAGCCACTATAACCAGATCAATAAGATGAAACGGGTATAGTGCCTAGAGTGTCCCTTTAAACATAAAGTTTGAATGGACTGCTAAATAAATTGTCACTGCTATCTGTTTGACAACCTACTCCCAGTGTTGTGAAAGGGGTTGTGTGCAATGTTTTCTTATGTCGAGGGACGCACATTTGTGCATACGCAATTCACTCTCTCGTTTAGAGATGTTGAAAGGCTGAGGGATCTTTTGATTCATTTTTTAAAATTATTAAATTATAATTTCAGCCATATGCAAGGCTGCCAAAGCACTAAATCTTCTATTCTCCCATAATGCCTTTCGCATTGCATGTGCATATATGTTAAGCTCTGTAAATATGGCTGCATCTTTCCACTCACGTGGCATCATAGATGGAATATGCCTGTACACACACGTGCTCTTGAGCTATCAAGGAAAGATGTTGCAAGTACCTGGTTGTGATAAAGAGGTAAGTCTTTTTAAATGTTGTTGCCATAATGATTACTGTGAGGAAGGGTAATTGAACTGTCACCAATAGTGATGTCCCGAACGGTTCGCCGCGGACTCGTCATTGAGTAAACTTTGACCCTGTACCTCACAGTCAGCAGACACATTCCAGCCAATCAGCAGCAGACCCTCCCTCCCAGACCCTCCCACCTCCTGGACAGCTCACTAAGAATGCAGCTTCACAATGAATGTAAAATGGATGCTGTCCAGGAGGTGGGAGGGTCTGGGAGGGAGGGTTTGCTGCTGATTGGCTGGAATGTGTCTGCTGACTGTGAGGTACAGGGTCAAAGTTTACTCAATGATGAGTCCACGGTGAACCGTTCGGGACATCACTAGTCACCAACTCTAAGATTACTGTTTCTTTATCAGAAAAGTAATTCTATTTATCATCTAATATCATTGATCCTGTGTGTATTCACATGACAAGCTGCATTTTCCATTTAATTCCAGATCTTTGTTGCAACAGGTATGGGAATGTACCGTAAACCTGTGACTGGAATGTGGGATTACCTGTGTGAAAAGGTGGGTGTTTATTGCAAGACAAAACAGATGATGTAAAATCGATTGCTGGACCCAAATAAAAACACCCGCTAAATGTTAGAGCACAGGAGTGTAAGTGTACCTTAGATTGATCACTCACTATCACCTATCTCTTTCTCTATCTGTCTTAGAGCTAAAAACCCCCTTTTTAGTAGTGATACATCTCCAACCAATACCACTACTTATTTATCTATAATAGATACAGAAAATATTCTCTTTTTCTTGTATACCTTTATCCTGGGAGAGGTGCACGCAGGTTCTGTGACTGCTTAGAGCATGCAGTTTGGCTGAACTGATGGATTTCCTCCACCGGAAAGAAGAGAAGAAACACCTCAATCCACAAACAAACAAAAAAAGGGGGAAAACTTAATCTTTACTCAAATACATCACAGCTGGGGATATACAGAGGGAAGTACTGGATCAATTCTGGCACATTTTGTGCCTACACCAGCACTACTTCAGATCAATTCTGGCACATTTTGTGCCTACTCAGGCACTACTTCAGATCTGTTCTGACGCATTTTGTGCCTACTCAGGCACTTCAGTTCTGAAGCATTTTTGTGCCTACTCGGGCACTACTTCAGATCTGTTCTGACGCATTTTGTGCCTACTCTGGCACTACTTCAGATCTGTTCTGACGCATTTTGTAACTACTCCGGCACTACTTCAGATCTGTTCTGACGCATTTTGTGCCTACTCTGGCACTACTTCAGAGAAGTGCCAGAATTGATCCAGGACGTTCCTCTGTATGCCTCGGCCATGATGTTAACTATATTTGAATAAAGGTTAATTTTTCCCTTTATTTTGTGAATTGATGTATTTTTTTCTCACCTTTCCTGGTGAAGGAAGTCCGGCAGTTCAGTCTTCAAAGACTGGAAAACCAAAGCTGGACAAGTAGCACGCTGCCATTGATTGTGTGCTGCTCCGAAAGTGACATCCCATGATGTAAATTTGTGCTAGAATTCAATTATATAAATAAAATAAATGTTATTGTTCAATATACGTAGTGTACATTCAGTACAAAATGACAGTTAGGAGCAAAATACAGAGGAAATATAAATGCACACAAAAGAAATCAAAATAAAGAGAACCCCTTGATTAAAGCTTTCCCCCATCTGTTACTTATATTCTGCGTGTTGTGTATATGAAACAATAATAAAGGCTATTTTGTTCACAAACGCATGTTACAGTCACAGAATTGCTGTTTCTCTGCTTTCCTATGACTTTCTTTATTGTAATACTCCCCATGAACGAGTACCAGCTCCTGTGTGTTGTTACTCAATGCAGCATGATAATTTATGCTTATCGCTTTGACTTTAACAAAAAGTAATCAAACAAAAGTAGGTTCTATTTCAGAATGGCAGATGAATGCAGGTCCTATTTTATTAAAGAGGTTGTGAAAGTCTGTGACCATAACCATACATAAAGCTGTCTAGTCAATCTGTTGTACAGATAAAACAAATCCGGTTTTTGATTAATTTTCCATTATTTCTGCTAAATACCTGGTTCCATTAACTCCTTAAGGACCAAACTTCTAGAATAAAATGGAATCATGACATGTCACACATGTCATGTGTCCTTAAGGGGTTAATGCCGTAGTTTGACACATTCACAGGACTGAGCTGGAGAATTCCACATGTTTATTAAACTGATGACATGTGGGAAGTGACAGAAGATCAATGATCTACAATTGGAACATTGCTTAGAACATAGACTACAAAGTGAAGCAAACTTCACTGATACCTATAGGAAAAGTTTGAGTTTACTTCATTTTCAAAATATGAGCCCCTTTTGTGTTGGGCTCTTGAACATTGTTTAAATATTTAGAAAATGGTTTTTAGTTAGACACATCTACTTATGGTGCAAAACATGAATTATTATAACTGTTTGCTTAGGGTCATGGGTTCGAGGACATGACATACACAGAAGGCTGCAAAGCAACTGATCACAGAACAATTAGCACATGGCTCTATATAATTACTTAAATTACAATTCATTTTATAGCACCAACATATTCTGAAGCACTGTATAATTGGAAGTAAGACAAAGATTTACTTTTAACAAAACATGTATGGTCCTTCTCCAAAAAGCTCCGCATTTAAAAGATCTTTAAATAAAAATAAATGCATGATGTCAATTTAAACCTATAACATTTTAAAGTACCCTGCTGCCCTGCCCTCATTGGTTCCTGAAATGCACTCTTTGGCAAATAGTTATATTTTTGGCAAACAAATGCTCAAGAACACATTCTGGATATGCACGGTCAGAAATATAACGGTATGTAAACCGAAACTGCAGCACCCACCGCATCCCATTCAGGGTCAGACCACTTACAAAAAATGTCAGCCTCTACACTCCCATTGCAAGCTCGTGTCTTATATCTAGTTTAGAATTTTTTCCAACAGCTTAACCCATCATCTAAAATTTGAAATAGGAAATGATCCATACATTTGTGTAGTGTGGGGTATAGATAATGTATTCCTATAAACAAAGAGCTGTTATGTTAAAGTATGGCAATCCTATCAAAATTGTTGAGCGCACTCATACCTGATAGCCGGGGTGGGGGGGGGGCTCCCAGGACCCGGATCTGCAATCCAGTAAATATAGAAATTAAAAAAATGATTCAGCACTCCTTTTAGTCCTTGTAAGCATTCTTTTATTTAGGGACAGAAATCAGCCGCGACAACATATTGTCCAACCCTTGACAAAGACCAGGGAACTGGATGAAACTTTGTTTCTGCTGCTGTGTGCCCCTAAATAAAATATTTCTTTAATTGATTGAAGGACTATAAACAGGACAGGCACACTATCATTTTAGGAGTGAATGGTGTGTCTTTGGTTTCATTGGTAACATTCTTATTTTATTTCATTTTTTCCCCTTCTCTCCCACAGGGTAATGACGGGATCCCTGTACAGAAGGAAGACTGTCTTTATGTGGGAGGTAAGGTGCTTTCTGTCAGTGTTGGGTTTCTTTTTTTAATTTTTTTTATGGTAACCATATCTATAATTATTGCTTTCTCAGATGCTGCTGGACGTCCTGCAAACTGGGCTCCTGACCGCAAAAAGAAAGATTTCTCCTGCAGCGACCGTCTGGTATGCCATTACAGATTACCATCAATCGTTACCTGATGTTTATTGAAAGGGACACTTTAGGCACCTCTCCAGCTCATTGAAGTAGTGTGGGTGCAGTGTCCCTGTCCCACTTAGTCATGCAATGTATGACTGGCTGTCAGAGGGACTTCCTGCTTGCTAACAGAATGACTGGAGCACTGACCCAGCACAGAGTGACTTCGGTGCTGGAATTGGATAAATGACTAAAGCTGGGTGGGTGGGGGGTGCAAGAGAGGTGAGGGAACCATAGGCTCTATAGTGTTATGTCATTTTATTGTGGTAGTTTTTGTTCATTTAAATATAGTCTCCTCCTTTACTGTGTTGATTCCCTTTATATATTTAAATGTTTCTATCATATCCCCCCTGTCTCGTCTTTACTCCAAGCTATACATGTTAAGATCCTTTAACCTTTCCTTGTAAGTTTTATCCTGTAATCCATGAACCAGTTTAGTAGCCCTTCTCTGTACCACTATACTGAGCTGTAGTGTTTATGGTGCTTAAAGTGTCCCTTTATGCAAAACAAAATTAACTCATCGGACATTTTAATTCTTTCCTCAAATGTTCTATAAGCTTTATCTGCTACAATAGAAACAAAAATGATTCAACTTATCACTGCCCTCTTGTGTCGCATGAATGAACAAACACAGCATAGTACCTAGATCAGCGTTTTGTTTTGGTATCCATGGTAAATTATAGGTTTGGCTGTCCCTTTAGTTGTTTATTACAGATTGCCTTTCATCATTTTTTTGCAGTTTGCGTTGAATATTGGATTAAAGTTCTCAACACCAGAAGAGTTTTTCTTGGGCTGGAAGACCGCTCCGTTTCAGTTACCTAACTTTGATCCAGTAAGTAAATGTGACTTCTTTTGCAGAAACCCTTTCATACCATAATGAAACTTCCTGTACCTTTCGAAAGCAGGATATAAGCTTACATTTTAGCATGTTTGCAGTCATTACATCAGTGTCCATGTGTTCTTCTACAGGCTAGTAATCATATGTAGCCTAAAACGTTATGGACTAAATTTTATTTTGAAAAATACATGAAATTATTGGGATTCTATTGATTAATGTCCAGTTGGTTGCTGGTGAAGGAGTCACTTTGACATATGAATCTATTGTGTTATTTCTTTCAGAGGACTTTGGATCCAAATGCACCACTGCACGATCCTGCTGCTACTCTGGTTTCCCCATCTACAGAAGTGGTAGTCACAGTTGGTTTTCCTGCAGGTAAATTATAATTTTTTTAGCAATGTCTGGGTGAACTGTGATACTCTCATTAAAAAAGTTATATGGTGGCCAAATATTTGTCTAAGAGCATATTCTGCTGCTCTTCATATTTAAGTAAAATGAACCACCTCAAACTTAATAAGATGGCTTATGGGCATCCCACAGAAGACTTGTTTCTTCCTCACTCTGGAAGCCTAGTCAATGGAAAGCAGGGGTGTGATTTAGCATATTCAGCTACAGAACTCTCTTCCTTGATGATATAAAGGGACACTATAGTCACCCAAACTACCTTAGCTTAATGAAGCCGTTTTGGTGCATAGATAATTCCCCAGCAGTCTCACTTCTTAATTATTTGCCATTTAGGAGTTAAATCACATTTTTATGCAGCTCTAGTCACACCTCTCTGCATGTGACTTACACAGCCTTCCTAAACACTTCCTGTAGAGTCATCTAATGTTTACACTTCCTTTATTAAAAATTCTGTTTAATTTACAATTTCTAATCTCCTGCTTTGTTAAAGGACCACTATAGTGCCAGGAAAACCTACTCTTTTTCCTGGCACTATAGTGTCCTGAGGGTGCCCCCACCCTCAGGGTCCCACTCCCGCCGGGCTGGATGGAGAGGAAAGGGTTAAAACTTACCTTTTTTTCCAGCGCCGGGCGGGGAGCTCTCCTCCTCTTCGGCTGAATGCGCACGCGCGGCAGGAGCTGCGCGCGCATTCAGCCAGTTTCATAGGAAAGCATTGATAATGCTTTCCTATGGACGCTGGCGTCTTCTCACTGTGATTTTCACAGTGAGAAGCACGCAAGCGCCTCTAGCGGCTGTCAATGAGAGCCACTAGAGGCTTTAGAGGCTGGATTAACCCATTTATAAACCTATACATTTATAGAAGAAAGGGTTAATCCTAGAGGGACCTGGCACCCAGACCACTTCATTAAGCTGAAGTGGTCTGGGTGCCTAGAGTGGTCCTTTAATAGATTGCTAGACCATGCAAGAGCCTTCTGTATGTGTACAGTGTACTAGCAAAACCATTAACAGATTTATTTAACCAATCATTGTTAACAGGAGTAGTCCCAGAAGATTGGAAGATTGCCCATTCACAAGAAAGGCAACAACATTGAACAACTGGGTTGGTAACTACTGCTAGAGGCAGCCTGTCTGAGAGGAGCACTAAAAGCTGGTGTCTGATGTGCCTTGCTCAGAGGAGATGGTCAGAGTTGTGGCCACTGACATTTAATGTGGATAAGTGCAAGATAATGCATCTTGGACATAAAAACCCAAGGGCAGAGTACAGAATATTTGATAGCGTCCTAGCCTCAACATCTGAGGAAAGGGATTTAGAGGGGAATTTTTCTGATGACTTAAAGGTAGGCAGACAATGTAATAGAGCAGCAGGAAATGCTAGCAGAATCAATCCACAGAGCAGGAGATGAAAACTTTTAAAGTAAGTTGCTTCTGATTTGAAAATGAAACCGTTTTGTTTTCATGCAGGCTGTGTCAGTCACAGCCAGGGAGGTGGCTAGGGCTGCATACACAGAAACAATAGTTAAAAAACTCCTAAATGGCAGAGAATTGAGCAGCGAGACTGCAGGAACATGACCTATACACAACTGCTTAATTAAGCTTAAGTTGTTTTGGTGACTATAGTATCCCTTTAATTACATGACGTCCCAGTCATGTGAAAACGTCAAGGAGCGTACCAAAGTGGTTCGATTCTACTGTGGATTATTGGTTATTGGTCCTGGTTAAATCTCCTTCCTCCAGCGTTTGCTGTGTATTCTATAAACTTCTGATACCCCTGAGGACGGCGTGTGGTCACGCCGAAACGTACGTCGGGTTCTTCTGTGTTTTTAATACTCTCTTGAGCACTTTGCTCTGAGCACCTTTTCATTTATGTTTTTCTAGTATGTGTGTGTTACCTGGGGCTTCAGATGTTATGACAGCATTTAGATTAGAACACCCACGAAGGTGTTTTATAGGAGATAGGGTATTAGCATAGCACTACTGTTTGGTTGGGAGTGTGTGTTTCTCCCTTTCCCTGTTCTTTCCTACTGCTTTGTTACCTGAGTTATGTATGTGGGTACATATTGCCTTCTATCCCCTCTCCGCTTCTTGTGAGGGTTGGCTCTTGATTAGCCTTGTTCCTACCATACATATTTCTCCCTATATTATTCTGTCCATCACTGATTACCCAGGTTTTTTAATAGATTTCAATAAAGGATTTTTTATTTTTTGGCAACTACACTACTGTTGAGATTGGACTGGGTATTTACCCTCTGGGCGGTCTTTATATAAGACATCCCTTTTTGGGTTTTTTTTCTTCCTTTATTCTATAAACCAGGTTCCCAACCCATTCCTTTAGGCACACTATCAGTCCAGGAATTCGGTATATCCCATTCTGTTCCAAGGGGTATGCTGGCAGGCAGACTTTGAACTGCCGTCCATTGAACAACTGGGTTGGTAACTACTGCTAGAGGCAGCGTGTCTGAGAGGAGCACTAAAAGCTGATGTCTGATGTGCCTTGCTCAGAGGAGAGATGCAGACCAGTGCTCAATTAATTATTCCCTCCCCTCCCACCCAATGTCATCTATGTTGAAGCAATAAATACAAACTCATTGCTACATATTTGGCATCTGGTTCCACTGGCACCGGTGTCTTACTACGGGCTGCGAGGAGGCAGACAAAAGTTAAGGAAAAAAGGTAGATTTTCCGAATTCACCTTCCTAGATGTAGAGAGACATTTGCATTTTTGTAACTTTTCAAAGGTTGAAGCGAAAATAAATAAACCTAAATGACAGCTTGTGTTAATCAAAATATTGAAAAATTGTCTACTTGGCAGGTCCATTTGTATCATAGCAAGAGAAATAATCACTGGAGTAGACTCTATTTAAAGCATCTTCTTTGTTTTTACAGCTGGAAAGTCCAAATTCGTAAAGGATTACCTTGTTCCAAAGGGTTACGTTTGTGTCAACAGGGTAAGTCCTAGTAAGAAGGCAAAAATAGCCACAAGTGTAACAGAACACACCTCTCGCGTATCGAGCATTATTCGACCTATTGAGCGAAAACCCAGCCATGTTTATTTGAGTATAAATCAAGTATTCTGCTGTTAAAATGACACCATAGACCCAGACCACTTCCACTCATTTGATAAACTGCAATAATTACATTGCAGGGTTAGGTGTCTGGTTTTGTTTTTCCATCGTTCAAAATTATATTCTGTTTTTTTCCACCTATAGGAACCAGTTCTAAAACGTTCTTTGTTCTTGAAGCCAAAAGCCAATTTCTTGCTATTTTCATTCTACTCTTGTGGTTTAAAACAGCATTGTAAGGAGATTAGGGCTATAGAACATTGTGTTGCTAGCTGGCCAGAAGGGGGCACTATTTGTGGTAATATTGAGTGTGGACAGTTTCATGATTGTTGCCTGTTATGAAGATGAAACGTCTTCTCCCAGGAAAATATGAAATGTTACGTCCACAATTAAAAAGACAGGTAGGACAGGGTGACATGCGGAAGATAAATTCCAAGTGGAACAATGCATATGTTAACCAATTAAGAACCATATGATGGTCTATGCCATCATGCAGTGTATTAAAAGGCTTTTTAATGTAAATGGCTACTAGGTGCTTTCTGGGTCAGTGCTGCACGTTGTGTAGCACTGACATTCAGTGTCTCCAACCTCTGCATGTAGACACTGAACTTTCCTCATAGAGACGCATTGATTCAATTCATCTCTATGAGGAGGTGCTGATTGTCCAGAGTGGCGTTTGCTAGAAAACTTTTATCTGGAATATAACTATTAGACTGGAATAAAGGTAAGATGTTACTATATTTATGGAGGCAAGGGGGCTAAATGGTGGTTTTAACATTATAGGGTCAGGAATACATGTTTGTGTTCCTAACCCTATAATGTTCCTTTAAGGTTATGTTTATTATTAGATTTTGGGATTAGGGTTTGGTTTAAAATTAAGGATTTAAATTACTTTGCTGTGGTATTAAGTGAAAAACAAACAAATTAAGCTTAAGGGGTTAAATTGTTCTTTTTAAATTGTTTATGGGGAAAATAACTGGGTGGTGGTGTAGACCATTTTTTCTATATTGAATGTGCAACAAAACTATTCAACAGGATACTCTTGGAACTTGGCAAAAATGTGTGGCCGGCTGTGAAGAGGCTTTGAGAAATGGAAAGAGCGTAGTCGTTGATAACACAAATCCTGACCTGGAGTCTCGAAGCAGGTAGTAATGTTGTTGTGCCAGGATTGATTTTGTAGGGACCCCAATACTTCAACTTCCCACTTTTTACTCTACTACCCTACCCTACTGCAATGCTTATCTCATCAATAATATTTGGTCGTTGACACACCTGGTGGTCAGGTGACATGGAAGCAAAGAGTTATACCTGGGGGCGGTAAAGGTCTGTCTTATAGGGTTCCCATCTCATGTGTTCCTGAGATACACAGGTACGATTATTCACTAAACCTTTCAACCTGGCTGTTTTAATTTTGAACTGTAGTGGATATTTCCTGACAATTCAGATGAAAGGTTTGTTCAATAAACACAGGACTGTAGTGAATTGGTTAAAGGAAATCTGTGCCTATGGCTTGGTTTGAGAATATTACCAAATCAGTGCTTTTTGCTTGCATTTTTCAGTTTGTTTTTCAACTCACTTTAGTTTGGTGTTTATTGAATAACCCTGAAAGTGATTCTCTGGACTGTGTATTGTCTGCAAGTGCAAATTTCAGGCAAAAATAGTCAAATTGGAAAATATCTTCACCTCCGTTGTTCTGGCATTATATGGACAATTCTCAGAGGATTTTTTTTTAGCAGTTTAGGAGTTATTGAATAACCCTCATGATGTCATAGCGTATCACTACACAGTCACTGAGAATGACAAGCCGTCAAGGATGAGGGAAAAACATTTCTATTCCTTGGGAGAAAAATAATGAAAAGGCAGAATACTAAGTGAAATGTAAAATACACTATATAATATAGTGTAGAGTATCCAGGAGCTAGTTAGTAGATGGGATATATAATAAATATAAAAACAGAAAGATATTAAAAACAATATAAAACACTTCAATGTCCAAACCGGACAATTCACCTTGTGTTGCTTCCACAATCTGGGCTAGAGATACCTACACCATACATATTCACCCTATTTGGACATTGAAGTGTTTTATATTGTTTTTAATATCTTTCTGTTTTTATATTTATTATATATCCCACCTACTAACTAGCTCCTGGATACTCTACACTATATTATATAGTGTATTTTACATTTCTCTTAAAGGTTTTGGTGAATTCCCTTTTTTTTTCTCCAGTTTCAGCGCTGTTCCCCTCTGTCTTATTCCCTCTTTTTTTTCTCTGTATATTCAACTTCTGAATATCAGGATATTTGCAGAATACTAAGTGAGACTGACATCTTCTGGTTTGCTTTTTCAGTGATTGTTGATAGAGTTGAATTGCATCTGGCTAAACGCCACTAATATATAATTTAATGTGTTCAGAGAAACTAATAGCAGCTATATCTAGACTTACTTGTCTTCTGAGTTATAGAGAGTCAAATGATATTCAGCAATATCTCTTCTTTTGTGTTTCCTCACTCCTATATTTTATTTTCTAACCTAATTAAATTTAGAAGACTTAGGTTTTAGCCATTTTAAAGTGAACCTGTTATGGAAAAATGAACTTACCTGAAAATATACCATATAACATAAAGATGCATTCAATGTAAAATCTAAAGATTTACTCACTTTTCCCCCGTTCCAGCACCGCGCCCTGGATGTTATTTTTCATGTAACATCCACCCACTGGCTGTTTCCCGTTCCACCTCTGTTCTTGCTTAATTTGCCCTGCTTAGGACGCATCCCCAAGCCGGGCAAATGTCGTCAGTGACGTTGGCACGCTGACTTCGTTTCCAGCGTGCAGACGGCGGAACGGAGTGACGTGACATCACTCCATTCCTATATTCCATGGCAATGACGTGCTGTGGTTGCTGTGGGTGGAGAGCAGAGGGACCTCCTGTGTTTAAGTCTTTTCTGCTCTCTCCTGCTTGGCAGCTGGGGGAAAAGCCTTTTCTCTTCTTTTTTAAATCTTTTTTTTTTTCTCCTAATCTATACTTTTGCTATCAAAACTGCTAGCATAATGTATAGATAAAATCTTATGCTCAATCTAATGAGCGTAATTTGTTTAGCGCCTGACAGGTGCCCTTTAAAAGACATATGTAAAATCATGGGTGTCAAATGTATACACAAAACGCCAGAATCAAGACAGAGTGGCAATATGTTTCTAACGTTTAATCAAACAAGATTTGTGCTAAGTGTTGAATTGTAGAAATAGGAGAAAAACAAACCTTACTCCAACTGGATCTAGTAAAGAAACACTCCAACCTGCAAAGCTGCTGCAGTGATCTAGGAATAAGCAGAGTGTACTCTGTGTCTTATTTCATGAAACTGTCAATTGTGCTCAAAGCAGAAGGCAGTGCTTCTCATGGAGATACATTAGTTTCAATGCTTCTCTACGGAAAGCATTTTATTGGCGCTGGGCAACCATGCATTCGTCTTACGTCCCAATACATCTCAATGAGCATTGGATTTGCCTGGGAGATCCTCACTAATAGGGATCTTTGTAAGGTAGATGGGAGCTGCAATACGGAGACAGTCTCAACTAGAGGAATTAGAGGTAAGTCACATTTTTGAAGGAATAGCAGTAGGGTGAAATCCAAATAAATGATGCCGCATTAAAAATGTTTGTTTTTGATTTTTAAGTGTAAGTGAACCCACACTTACACAACCAAGGGTCAAATAAATAGCCGCATGTAGATAAAGAACGGCTTGGAATCTGTCCGTGCTCGTTTTAGTATCCATTTCATAGAGAAAAAAAAATACCAGGTTTTTGTTTTTTCTTACCCCTCCTACAATGCTCTGCTACTGAATGAGCATGTCGTTGCACTTATTGTAGCGAGATAATATCAGATGGTAGATGACTGGTGGAGAATATTTCAGGAGTTATTCAGAATAATGAATAGTTTTTCGGTTCTTGTATGACTATTGAATCTGAAATGAAAGTGACAGTTTATTTTAATGAGCAATTCGCAAATATTTTGCCCTTTATAAGCACTTTGTGGCTATTGTGATAATTGTATATAGTGTGAAGGAATCCGTGGTGTGTGCAGCCCACCTGTCTTGGTGTTCATATTGTGTTGGGTTTTATACTTATTGTATTATTATTATTTAAACATGAGGATTGCGTTCCTTTAACATATTTGTTATAATATACCACCCAGTTTTTTAAATTCAAGTATATTGACATTTTTTAAGAAATCCCCTGCCTACCTTTACCACTCACACTTTCTAAAAGATAAAATGTGATGACTGTATTTCTTAAAGTTGTTTAATGACTTTTTACACAGTTGTCTTACTCGTATGTTTGACCCCTAAGGTACATCAATTGTGCGAAAAATGCTGGCGTACCGGTGAGGTGTTTTGAGTTAACAACCACTGTAGAGCAGGCGAAGCACAACAACCGGGTAAGAGAAGGCATTTATTATGGATATCATATCTCGTCCACTCAAAACTCATAATTAGATTGCTGTAATGCTGTTCTTCTTTTAGTTCCGAGAGATGAGTCAGAAGGGACACGTATCTGTGAATGATATGGTCATCAACAGCTACAAGTAAGTGCCCGGCTTGTCATCAAGTCAGTCCAAGCGGGGGTGGCTCCTGGACTCAAGGGCCTCTGGCAAAACACACAGAGTACATGCAGTTGCCTAGAAGGTGCCAATAATGTTGCAGCTCTTGTAGTTTGTGGCTTTAAATAGTCATGAAGTAGAAAGTTTAAAATATTGTTGTTGCTGTCTGACCTGTTAACCCTTAGGAACCCATGCTCTACCACTACAAATTTAGATTATTAGATAATCAAACAAACCTTAGATCTATCTGCATGTTCTCAAGCTGGGGGACACTACAATTCCTGTGATGCTTATGAAATATTCTAAAAAAAATAAATAAAAATGTTTCTATGCCTAGCTAATAGACTCTAATACTGCTAGATCTTCAGTTAATAATTGTACTGTATCTTGATTAAATTAATATTTCACAAACAAGCATAAGAAATGCTTTTTGATACATTTTTTTATTTATTTTTTAATAACACCTTCTGCCAGGGTGCCATTCAGTCTCTCTACATCTTTGCAGAGGAACTGTTAATAGCAGCCCCACGTTAAACTGGCTGCATGCTTGCCTTTTGGCAGCCAATGAGCGAGCGGGAATGTCCTCATACCGACTACAATGCCAGGATTCTTGGCAGGCTGCAATATCAGTGTGTTTAATGCTGAACCGATACCCTTATTTATACATTATTGATACATTCTAGTGGCATTTTTTAGAAAGCTACATTTCCAGAAATCGCACCAGGTTTCTTATAAGCACCTATAATCAGAGTATTTGACATTTGCGGTCGATGACAAAGGTGCTATATTTGCTTCTATGCTATGGGAAAGACATCTGAAATGCTGTAAGAGAAAACCTACAATAAGTCCCTCAAAGTTTGTCCATAAAGTTTGCACTAATAAAGGAAAGCTTAAAATAATGTAGATTTGCATAACTATATTCGGAAGTATCTCTAAACAGTACTTTTTCCATTTGTTGTTTTTTAACTAGGAAGTTAATAGATGTATGTAATTTATATTCTGATGCAGATTTAACAAAAAATAAACTACTGTCTTTCATAAAGCGCTCAGAAATAATGAGGAATCAGAAGCAATTGTACACGTTTGGTATCCTGAGTGTCTTTATATTTCTACCCTGCAAAATCGTTGCAGGATGTGCTCGTTTTCATGATGCTTTTTATCAAAATGTTAAAAGGTTTTTTGTTTACATTTTTTATTTATATATATGTGATTTCCCTCCCCCCCCCACCCACTTTTTTTGCAGGAGTAAGTTTGTAGCACCCTCTGTGAGTGAAGGCTTCAGTGAGATTGTGAAAATCCATTTTGTGCCCCGTTTCAAGGATGCGTTGGAAGAATCTTTGTATCGCCAATTCTCAGAGGGCTGAGAGTTCAAACCCCCCATGTATGTCAAAAATTTTGTGTTGCCACTCAGAAATACTGTACTAAAATGTGAACAGTAATCAAAGGCAAATCTATCCACGCAGCAGTAGGACAAAAACAAACAGAATTATTTTAATAAATAGATTGTCTTTCCAAGAAATGTTATCTTCCTATAGTAGTGATATCAATTCAGGCTCAAACACTTATGTTATCTTTTTAATACATTCCCAAAACGCACGTTTCCGTTAAAATAAATCCTGTTAAAAGGTAATAGTTTATGCCACTCACAGCTTTTCTCTTGGTCCAATCTACCGCTCTTCTGCTAAAATCTTTATACAATATGCTGCATCACAAACCAATGCAGTTGCTCCCATTGAGATTATTGGGACAGCACACTTGGTTTAAGTTGGAAGCTTTACCAGTGTGCTGTACATGCACTTAATGATCCTATAGAAACCAGTGATGTTAGCATGCCTATCAGTGAGTGTATATCTGTGTGCTGCCGGGCTCTGGTGTACACTCAAGGCAAAGGGTAAAGCAAATCCCGAGTCGCACACTCAGTAACTTTATTCATGATTCCAATTCCGAGTCTGCATAATTTCCTGATGTAAGCCTTTTTTTTTTTTTCTTTTTCTTTATATCTTCATCTGACATTGGAATTTAATTATGAACTCTTTGAGTACTAGGCTTGCAAGAAACTGTACTGTTATAAACCATTCGCTTTAGCTTGCAGGTTACGTAGTCGGGTAACTTTGCAGATACAGTGATAGCTCTGCAGGTCCTAGAATTTGGCAGGTCCTACATTGCGGCAAGCTTCTTTCAAGTTCAGCTGCTTACACAATGGACTTGGCATTGAGATCGGCATAGTAAACGCTTCCAGAACAGTATCTCTGCCAGCCTAGTTTCATTTGAGTTCTCATTTATGGATTACCACCAAGGTGGTGATTAACAGATAAATATTAAACGGTTATATATGTGATCCAGGTATGGATTGGATGTGTACCTCAAACACAGTGTATGTTACATTTGAAGGATATCAACACAGATGCAATGTTTACTGTGGTAATGTGCCATCAGGCCACAAGAGGGTGCTATGCACTGATTTGTTTTTTTGTTTTGTTCTATAAATATATATATATTTTTGCACTTTTACATACTCTAAACAAAAAAAGAGAAAAAAAAAAGATTATGTGTAACATTTTGAATATGAAACTAATTCTGTTCACAGCTGACACTTTGTTTGCCAGAGTTTGTGCAGACTGTATGACACCTATCCTCTTGACATTGTATCCTAACCAATGATCTCATTTATTTTGGCACAAGCTGTTCAGATCATTCAAATATGTTCCCTAACTGCAGTCAAGTAGTAAACACTGGAAAATTTCCTCTTCTTGTGATTTGACTCTTTCAATCATAATGTAGTAATAAGAACATTTAATGACGCATTGTCACCTGCCATAACTGCAAGTCAATCTATAGATCAAGATAAGAATTGGTTTAACACTTAGGGCATATGATGATTAATGGGAGCATAAATTTATACCAAATGAATGTCAAAATTAGGAAGGTAATTCCATTCACAGCCGGCCAGTTATTTAATACTCACATATTAGCCCCACTTTTGGGGGTCAAAGTAAGTGACCTCTGCTGTACATACCTTATTGATGTGTTGCTGTCTCCCAACTCCATATGAGCTTTCTAGGAGTTTTAACCTAGTCGCCAGCATTCTGTTGTAAAACGTTAATAGATGAACTGCAAGTCCAAGAAAGTCAGGGCATCGTGTATAGCACAAGGACAAACTTTCATTTGGAAGAGAGGGTTAGAAAAGGTAGATTTAAAGAGCAAAATTAGAAGAAAAAAATAAATGACTTACCCCTTGCATATGTAGGCGCCTAGAGTTTAATGCTATAATAGGATCACTTGTCACTTAAGTTTGTCAGGAGCAATAAACCGGGTGGCGAATGGTCCAGAGCATCCATCTTTACAAACAATATATGGGAGGTACCAGCTTAGCCTGTTCGCTCAGATGAAATTCACTACGGCACCACAAGTGGCAGTGCTTGGATCAAAACAAAGCCATTGTTTATGGATCACGAAGTATAAAACGACTTCAGTTTTCTGAAGTGGTTATAGTGCAAGGAAAACCTGTGCCAAATCATGCGTGTTAATTGTATCTACGTTCCGTATGATCACACAATGTGCATTATTGGTGAACACGTGCAGTTTTGACTGGTCCCTTGCACAGATAAACTTGCGTACAGAATTTGGTGTTGATTCAAAAAGGAGCTGGATCGTAGCTGTATGTTGTAAGAAATTAATTTATTTTGCCACTTAGTGTAAATACAGATTTTTTACGAATTAGACGCTACGTACAGCGCTACGGAATTTGTTGGCGCTATAGAAATAATAATAATAAGAAGAAGAATATGCATTAAAAAGGTTCTCTGGAGCTTGCATTTCCTGTTATAGTGGCTCTGTCCCCTGCTCTTACCTTTCTTTGATCTATTCCTTTTCTCTTCCTCTCTCTGAATCTTCTTTTCCTTATTTCTAATATTTTTCTCGTGAAATACATAAAGCAGAGTAAAGACTTCTTTTTTCCTTCACTTGATGTATTTTTCCTTCACTTGATGACCAAAGGTGTATTCTTTAAGGCAGGCTCCATTTTCCTTGGTCAAGTCAAATTTTTCCCACAATACTTACATGCTTATCGCATTTCTCTTATCTATTCTCACAATGCTTTCTAGTCCTCCGAGCATTGCGCATGTCCAATACAGTCGCATTTGCCTCTGGGTACTGAGCATGAATGGGCGTCATATGGACAAACTAAAGCAATGACCATGGAAGCGGACTGGTAGGAGATCCGTTGCCGCATTTAAGGAAGAAAAGGTGAGTTAAAAAGGGATAAAAGGAACATTAAAAAACATGAGGCATTTGGAAAGCATAGAACTGGGGGGGTCTGAAAAAAAAAGTGTTCGGTTGTGACACAGACGCTTTAAGAATCAAAACTTATGCAGGTATGTGGTATGCACACAATGTAGGTCTGTGCACGCTTTTGCACCAACGTACCTTGCAATCTTTCCCCATACACTCCTGCAAAGCATGTGAGGTCTCATTCTGGCAATTTGTTTGTTTTTTATAAAAATCAAAATAAGTATTTAATGTTTTTATCAATATAGAATGTATAATTTGAACAGTGGAACAATACATTAAAAAAAACAAACCAAAAAAAGCCTTTTTATATATTGAAAAGAGTTGCATATTAGCCAAGATTAGGTTTTATAAAATGTACAACTGGTATAGGTTTGTTTTATAACTTAACTCTTTGTTGCCTGTGTAGCTAGATTGCAAACTTTAATAGGACTTTTGTTTAACAGGCATTTTACTCCACCCGCTAACCCAGGAAAAATATTCATAATTAGCTTAATTACTAAACTGCTGTAATTCAGTTGTAATTTGCACGTAAATATCTGGTATGCATACTGTACATACACATTTTATGTAAGTATAGGCCATTTAGTTTAGGAATTTTGAAGTCTGTTTTGTTTAACTATTTCAAATTAACTGAAGTGTGAATGCTCAGGAATTCAGTGAATAATCATTTTAGACCAATATAGCCAAATGAAAACATTCTCCCAAGGTGGCTATGTGTTGAGCTATTTTGTATTTCTGAAATTGAAATTCATATGGTATTCACAAGCAATTCCCATTTTAGTGAATTTGTTTAAGCAGTGTTTACTAAATGGTTAATGGCAAATTTTATGCCAAAATAGGTGGTCTTAAACCGTAACGGAGTTGGACAATATTTCTAACTCTGCTAATTTGAACAGAAATTTGCAATACTCTTGTTTTGTACTTCTTCACAATTCAGTGAATAAAACTTGATTGTCGTCTGAATCAGATTTGTGCCTGCCTTCACCTTACAGGGATACTCTAGGCACCAAACTCACTTCATATTATTAAAGTGGTTATGGTGCCAGGACACATCCATGCTTTTTTACAGTTGAAATATTTTTCAGCTTTGTCGAAAGAGGCGTTTAAAGCAGAGGGCATCGCTCCGACTAGAAGCCCTGTCAGTTGGGGAGCTTGGAATTAAACTTACCGTCATCCTCCCACAAAAAATACGGGTGTGAGAGAAACTTGCGGATGCTGTTCCCTGGAAACAAGCATGTGTACATGTCTCTGATTAATGTGGGCCACAAGCTGCACAAATCACAGAGAATGGGAAGTGTATATCCTGGCTCTCTGATGACAGCACGTGTAGGTGGAGCTTTCACTTCTCAAAACAATTGCATGCCACCTTATAACTGGCACATACAAACAAAACATATTGCAGTATTTCACTCCCAATTGAATACTACATACAATGCTTCCAAATGACTGATGGTTTTTGTCCAACCACATGGTTGGAAGTATGTTCTATAATGGAGAATGGATTTCCTAAACCTAAATAAAAAAATTAAATTAAAAAACACTCCATTGGTGGTGTTCTTATTTCCATCTTGTGGCGTAATGAGTGACAGTGCTGGTGACTTGACCCATTACCTCACCACGGCAGACAAGTTGGTGTCAGGAATAGAACTCCTCTATATTATACCTGGAAGAAGGAAGACATTACCTAAGCCAGATTACGTAATGAATAGTGACTCTGTTACACCGAGTGACCTGTACGTCTCCAAATGATGAATCATATAGCACACCTCACCACTTAACTTGTGTGTTACCATATACACTGATATTCTTTCTAGTTGGGGCTGATTTACTAAACAGAGACAGGGTTATTCACTAATGTTTGAAGGCAGAGGAAATAAAAGTGAATTTCGAACGTTGGGCAAAAAATAGCCAAACTGTGAACAGAGAGAGTTGGCCTTGGAGAGTTTTAACAGTTTAGCATTTTTTATTTTACTTATTTTGGCCTAAAATATAAAATTCATTTTGAATCCTTGACTATTCACACTTTCAGGGCCGGTGTGCCCTTAGTACAACTTAGGCAGTTGCCTAGGGCGCACTGGCCCGGGGGGCAACAGATTTGAGTGACCCGGTAGGAGGGAAGCATACAGCTCTCAGTGGGCACTTCTTTCAGTCTGGCCGGGTACAGGAAACAGAACTCCTGTACCGTGGTCTGCGCCGCCCGGCCATGTTACAAAGAGGTAGGAGGCACAACAGGGAAGGGAGGGGAGATGGCAATAAGGGACACAGGGGGTGGGGAGAGACACCACTAAGAGAAAGATGGGGGGGGGGGCATTGGAGAGACCAATAAGGGAAAGATGTGGGGAGAGACCACTGAGGAAAAGGTGGGGGGAAGAGAGATAACCAATTGAAAGATGGGGAGAAGAGATCACTAAGAGAAAGATGGGGGCGGGGGAGGGAGACACAAAGGGGCTTGGAGGACGAGGAGCCATACGAAGGGGGGGGATAAGAGACACACAATGGGCTTGTAAGAGATACACTAAAGGGGAGTGTAAGACACAAAACCTAAAAAAAATTATTAAAATAAATATCAAAATAAAGAGCTGCACCCCTCTCAACCCCTATCCTACCCCACAAACCCTCTCTTTCACACTACACACATTCACAATGCATCCGTACACATACACAGAAACACACTATGCATCCCGTACACACACTACTTCTCTTAATGCATTTTACACACACTCAGTGCACCCATTACAGGTACACACTGCATTACATTACATACACAGAAACACACACTACATCCCTTACACAAACTAGTATCCCTATACACTACTTTCCATAAGAACACACACACACACTACATCAGCTACAATAACACATCCCCTACACACATACACTCCACTCCCTGTGAGCGAACTCATGGGCAAGCCTTGTAGGCATACTCTCAGGGGCCCAAAAAATGGAGCTGCTTCCTGTTTGTTGTTTTTGTGAGCACTGCCTCCAGAGAGCCTGTTTTAATACCAGACCAGTGATGGCAGACTGCAGCCTGAGCCCATCATCGTCCTCTTGTCTTCATCTACAGCGCTACGGCTGCGTTATATAAATAATAAAATAATCTGGTAGTAAGTAGGCAATCCAGTATATTATTAGTGGCACTAATCTCTAATTTACCTCACAGGAACACTATAGCTTAATGAAGTGGTTTTAGTGTATAGATCACGCCTCTCATGTTTCACTGCTCAATTCTCTGCCATTTAGGAGTTAAATCACTTTCTTTCTGTTTATGCAGCCTTTGCCCCCCCCCTCCCCTCCCCCCCTGGCTGTGATTGAGACAGTCTGTATAGGAAAAAAATGGTTTCACTTTCAATCAGATGAATTTTACCTTTTAAACAATTTTATCTCCTGCTCTGTAAATTTTACTTTAATCACATACAGGAGGCTCGTGCAGGGTCTAGCAAGCTATTAACATAGCAGAGGATAAGAAAATCTAAATTAAACATAACTTATAATAAAGAAAGGATAAACGTTAGATTACTCTTTACAGGAAGTGTTTAGGAAGGCTGTGCAAGTCACATGCAGGGATGTGTGACTAGATTTCATAAACAAAGTGATTTAACTCCTAAATGGCAGAGGATTGAGCAGTGAGGCTGCATGGGGCATGTTTTATACACTAAAACTGCTTCATTAAGCTAAAGTTGTTTTGGTGACTATAGTGTCCCTTTTAAAGGGACACTGTAGTCACCAGAACCACTGCAGCTCAATGTAGTGGTTCTGGTGTCTACAGCCTGTCCCTGCAGGCTTTTGTTATGGAAAGACACTGTGAGCAGCACTGGCATTCGCTCATATGGCAGATCATATGGGTGGGGTATTGTGATGTCACACATGGGGGGCAAATTTTTGTTTGCTCAAGGCGGCAAAAATCCTTGCACCAGCCCTGCAAACTTTACTAAATAATTATGTTCTAACAAGCAAGATACAAAATTTAGCATACATTTGCATGTTTTTTAAAAATATATATTTGGGGGGTAGGGGGGTTAAATGTTGAAGCTGTTTTAATAGGGCTAAATAAGTTGTGTTGGGTTAATTTCATATTTATGCATTCTGTTTATAACATATTGGACTGCAACTCACATTATGTCTGGTCAGATTTGCCACCTCTAGAAAATGTGGTGAATTTATGTGAGAAAAGTACATGCTAGACCAAAATAGCTGAGCTGGCAATATGGATGCACTGTCTAATTTTTCCAATTTGACTTTTTTGGTCTAATATTTGCAGTTATCCATTTTCCATTATTCCTATACCAGTGAACAGCAGCAGTTAGGCAGGTTAGTCTCTCCTACTTTCAGATTCCTGTAACATATGCACATATTATTCAGATTGCTCACTGTAAACACCAATGAATAAGGGAGTCTGTCTGAAAATCAAATAAACACTGTTGTAAACACTTTTGCTTCCAAACTGTTCCTGAAAACACAGTTAATGCACGATTGTAAACGTCCCAACCTTTGGAATGGACAAAGAGGAACTCTTTTGTGTTGGGAGTGGGACATTAGAGGTGTTTTTTAGATTACTTCATGGCCTATTTAAAGCTTTGTATAGAACGGTTGTTTTAGTACCAGAACAAAGTATTTTATTTACACAGGAATTGTATAAACATTTAAAAATGTACTTTTCCATGAGGTTTATTGTAGAACAGATCTGTAATAAATTCACATACTAAAGCACATTGTTGGGAGTTTTATTGCTGTGGAGCTCTGTGATTAACTGATAGAACAACATAAAAAAGCTACAAAGTTTTTGAATGTATTTTTATATTTGTTTGTTTTTTATTTGACTGTGAATTGGACTGAAATTTGATCTTGTATCCCAAATTAGAAAGTATCTCTTCAAACAAAACATCTACTAAGAGCAACAAAGAGGTTTATTTCTCGGATTGAAAACTTATTAGAGAATTTACAGATCTTATCAAAGGATCTTTTAAAACTGTATATATTTCTCTATATAAATATATATATTCTCGGTTATTAATGTTATTTCTAGAGCGCCAACACATTCTGCCGCTTTGTACAATAGGCGGTTGACACAATCAGAGTAAATCAATCAGAATAACTGGTACAAGATGTTATAAAGTTATACAAAACCTAACAATTGCTCCAAATGTAATAAAAAAATAAAATAAATCAAGGTTCTAAGCCCACCCCCTGTGTTGCTGCTGCAATGATTTCCCTCCAATGATGGACTAATCTGGATGGATAATGTGTAAATTAAACTTTACTTTTTTTTTCACAACTGCAGCAGAGGGGGCAATTTTTGTGTGTAGGGAGAGCCAGGTTTTTGTCAAACTGCTTTACAATAGAGCAGGGATGGGGAACGTGCGGCCCTCCAGATGTTTTGGACTACATCTCGCATAATGCAAAGCATCTAGGGAGATGTAGTCCACAACATCTGGAGAGCCAAAGGTCCTCCACCCCTGCAATAGAGGGACACTATAGTCACCAGAACAACTACAGCTTATTGAACTTGTTCTGGTGAGTAGAATCATTACCTCCAGGCTTTTTACAGTAAACACTGTCTTTTCAGAGGAAAGGCAGTGTTTACATTACAGCCTAGTGATAGCTCCACTGGCACTTCTCCGATGGCTGCTACAGGTGCTTCCTGGGGCAGTAATGCAGTGTGCAGCATTAAGGTTCAGCATCTCCACGCTGGGCTGATTGGCCAGGGTGGTGTTTGGCCCCACCTCCTTGGCGATCTCGGCCAATCCAATGGAAAAGATGATCAATTTTGATTATATCAGTCAAACAGGTGGACACGGGGGGGTGTCAGACCCGCTCTTGCTTGAAAAAAAGGTTAATTTTAAACCTTTTCTAAGGGGACAAGCCACCAAAATGGTGGTTTTAACACTACAGGGTCAGGAATAAATTTGTGTTTGTTTCTTTAACTGCATTCCTTGCACCAAGTTTGATGGGTTATTGTGCTCAGACTGTCTCTCTGAGCATTAAAAACACAGCAGTTTTTATAACAAACATTGGAAAATATTTTTTTAGTACTTTTGGAAATATCTGTAGTATCAATTAACGTATTCATATACCTGCATAAATGGAAGGTAAAAAAAAAATAACAAATGGTTTGCTACCTGTGTAACATACCTAGAAACCAGTAGGGACAGATCCAGAGCTAAAACCTGGTAAAGGGGCTAAAGAATTTGTTACAGGTGGACTCATTCCTCTGCACAGATACACAAACTGTCAGGATCATACTAATACCCGGTACGCAGAACTTAAGATAACTAAATAAAAAATAACCTGAATACTAAAGCATATTACCGGACCTTTGCATGGCCGGAGTTAATGCTAATAAACAGAGTAGTACAAACAGGCCAAGGTCAGGGAGACCGAGCCAGAGATCAGGGAATACAGAAGGTAGAATAGTCAAGGTACAAGCTGGCGTCAAAATACAATAGACTCAAATATAACACACTCTTGGAAAACCTCAAGGGAGTCCATGACAGGGCACAGAGAAATAACCAACATAAGCATATATTGGTCAGTGGCTGTCATGTGATGACAGAACACGCGCTCTCAACGTCTGTGAGATGACGCAGGCACGTTCGTGTCAGTTAACAGAACCGGGAAGGGCCCTGATTCTTAGCGGCCGCCGTCATACTGAATGCCGGAGGAGACCGCAGACACGTGGGATGGAGGCAAGAGTGGCATAGGCAGCATGCGCCCAGCGGATAATGTGACACAAACTTACACATATTCATACAGTGACAAGTGCCTACATATATTTAGGCATGCTATTTTCTGTAATGATTCGTTGATGCCCTCCTCTCTGCTTGACAAATCAATTAAATTCGCCTTTTTCCCAGCATTTTTTTTTTTTATCAACTTGGACCCAGGCATTTGGGAAAAGAGTGGAAGGGGGGGAGGGGGGGACAGTGTCACAACGGTCAGTTCTGCTACTGAACATGCACAATTACTTCTTGCTTTTTAGGGGGAGCATTGCCCTGATTGCCCTCTCCCCTGATCGACGACTGATCCCCAGTACAATTTCACAGTGTCTCATTTATTTATCTATTTTACAATGCCTATTTCAAGATGAAACAGACGCCATGCATGCGAAAATAAGCACTGAGATGAGGGGGTCACCATGCCATGCATGTAGGAGGAGTTTCAATGAGCCATTCTTAGAGCAGGCGCATGCTGACTGTCCATTTCTGGCGGGTTTTCCTGTATGTTTTTGCAGTGAGTAATGGAACGTACGTGCAAAAAGCAAAATGTTACTCCTATGGTACTCAAAATGTTGTCTAAAACAACAAAAAAAAACCTGCATTTCAGGATTCCATGTTTATGGCTATCATAGTGGATCATCAATTCTTTTCTGACGTATAGAAGAAAAAAAAAACATATCTATGGGTTTCTAAAAGTGCTCTTTTAGAAAATCTGCTTGAGACAACAGATTAAAAATAGTAATAGTTAAAATAGTAATATTAAAAATAGTATCGGACCATGATTATTTCTCACCTGTAGTCATGTGACACAAGGAGAAGGCTTTTAAAGGCTTTGTTGCTGTAGAAACATTGGAAGCTTCTTAAATATTTCTGTATTGTTTTTACATGTTTACAGTTGTGCAGCCTTGAGGTGTTAGTATGTTTTCAGTTTTCAACTGTATATTTAAGAAACGCATTACCACAGGCTCAACTCCATACCTCTTCACTATGTTGCTGGCCTGAGCGGCAATCTACAAATAAGTAAGTGCAGATTATATGCAGAATGCCATTCTAATATTAAATATTCTTTGGAAATCCCTTCTTAAAGGAGACTAAGCATGTGCATAATCTGCTGAATCAGGACGTATTCCACAAACGCCCCATGATTCTCTCAACAGCTTTTCCAGACACACACCAATCAGGAGGACTTGCAGAACTGTAACCATTAGAGGGATATCATTTTTGCTAAAACACACTTATCACAAGGTCTGCTGTAATTAAATTTTTAAGTGAATATGATCAATACTTACCATACCATAGCCAATTTGTTTTTCCGTTTATTTTGGCCAAAAAAAATAAAAATGGTGGGATATTGTTCAAGAACCGAAGAATGGTGCCAGGCATTATAACCACTTGTGAGATGAAGTGGTTATAGAGTGTCCCTTTAAGCACACTGGCTAGGGGACATTTGCACATAAGACACTGAGGATTCAAATTACCATTAATTAACAAAAGAAAGTGGGGATTTTGTGAGGTTCTGTCCTACAATGTCCACATTAGGTTCAACAATCAAAAGCTGTGGACTGTTACATTATTCTAAGCAGTGCAAAACCAAAATGAGAGTGATGAGAGTTACAGTTCACACCATAGCTAATGTTTATCTTAGTCTACGGGGCTATCCAGAGGTCTAGGGTTTATACCACTCTACCCTTGAGCTCTAAAGCTGTTATACCCAAGTGCTTGTAATGGTATGGCCCAATGTAACCAGCCATGTGTTGATTTCACGTTCTAATTAATAGATACTTTGCCATTGCATTGTCATGATAATGACACAGACGGTGGCTCTTACAGACACAGTACACACAACCTGATGGGCAAACGTTTATTTGGCCACCCAGGAATCTGTCCTGAATGCCTGCCAGCTTGGCTGAAATGGGGGCTTATTTAGGAAATGCTGGGGGTTGCCTTGACCCCCTAAAATACTTCCCAACATTGGAATAAGAGGAATGCAGACGAGGATATATCCTCACACAGTCACAATAACAGTTAAGTACTGTAATTGTAAACATTGTAATTAATGGAACTTTTAATTCGTATACACTCAAGCTATACACCAGAGAAAAAAACCTAGGTCCACGGAACACGAGTCCAAAATTGAGACTGTCCTTTCAGATGCGGGACAGTCTGGAGGTACTCCATAAAAACAGGTTGTAACTTGGTAGCTGTCCCCACTAATAAGGAGTGGTAGAACATACCATCCTAATGAAGAAATAGGAGAAACGCTTCCTACAGGAAACATTGGAAAGCGAGACCAGGAAATTCCCACAAGCACAACAAGCAAATGGCAAAATCAGCCCGATGAGTCTAATTAAAGTTTTGTGGGAATCTTTAGCAAACATTCCAGCAGGGTGAGATAGCGAAATCCCGTCAATCCAACCACCATCCTACGTCAATCTTCTCTCTATCGCGGCCTCACTGATTTTATTCTTCAATGAAATCAATTCTCACATAATAAAATTCAAAAATGGTAAAATCCCCAAAGCAACTGTACTGATGCATTTTTTTTTTTAACCAATTAAATGAAAAGGTGGAAATGCTTGGGAAAGTAAATTTAACGCTTTAAGGACACATGACGGAAATATTCCGTCATGATTCCCTTTTATTCCCGAAGTTGTGTCCTTAAGGGGTTAAAAAAAATTGGATTGCATGCTTGATACACGGACACACAACGCGCAGCGATTTGGATGTTTCTGCTCGTCGCTGTTGGACTGATTGAAATGCTTTATAATAATTAATCGCGAAGAGGAGCAATGCTCTGTAGCGCCAGGGTGAGTAGGTGAGTTTGCGTATCTTGAAGGTGCAAGTACAAAAGAAGATGATGTTGACTCTGCAAAAGTCCAGCGGATTGGGGGGGAGGGGTGCTGTTGTCTTAACCGCTGGAATGCCAGATCAGTAAATATTTAAAGGGACACCAAAGACACTATAACCATTTCATCTCATTGAATTGGTTGTAATGCCTATAGTCCCCCGTCGCTGTCCCTTGATTCAGTGTTAAGCCATTTTTGAGAAATTTAACATAGAATGAGGGTCCCTGGCCATCCATAACCCAGCGCTACGGCAGAGATTACGCACTTCCTTGTAGCCATACTGTTTCATACCCGCAATAGGCACTGTGATAGGCTGAAAACGGTCAGCGGACACTCTCAACCAATCACAGCCACTCAATACTACTCAGGTTAATGCTTCCTCGTTAGCCCCATGCAGAACAGAGTGGATGGGCTCCCGAGGACTCTTGTTTAGCATTAAAACACTAAAAACGGTTTAACACGGGATGGAAGGACAGCATCAGGGGACTCCAGGAACTATAATCACTTCAATGAGATGAAGCAGGTACACTGCCTACAGTGTCCCTTTAATTTTCTGCTGATCTGGCTCTGAAAGAGTTACTTGGAAAAATGAAACATGTCAGTGTAGCCCTAGGTCAAATCTGTAACACAATGCAATGTTATGCAGGAGTCTTCACTGTGATAGAGTCGCAGTAACGAAAATACTGTATTTGTAGCATTTATTGTTAGAATTGCAGCATGTGGGGGCAGGGGGTTAGTTTATACAACTAAACCATAAATACAAATAGTATCTGAACAGTAAATATTTCAAAAATATATATTTTTGCTCTGATATGAATTCATTGAATAATTTAATACCACACACACACTTGCTAATTGCAATCTTGTGAATTCTAAGCTATTGTTGTTGTTATTTATTTATTTATTTATTATTATTATTATTTAAGAGACAGGGAGAGCTGTGTGTTTCTCCCAGCAGGGAAGGGGTTAATGCTGCATGTCAGTGGAAAATCCACCATGGGGATTGTTTTAATCAGGCTGAGAGGTGACATCACAGCTCTGCCTTGGAGTGTTCTCTGATTGGCTAGAGATGACATCAACCTGAGTTATTTTTAACACTCCCCCCCAGCCTCCCCCTTCCCATTACCTCATCCTCTCTGCTGGCTCCAGTCATCATAACAATATAGTACATAGCACCTGGGACTATCTGGTACCTCCTAGCTCTGCTGGCTGGCTGTCTGTCTGTCCTGCTGCAGGTGCTGCTGCAAGCACAGGGCTGCTTCACTTTCTCTTGTTGGAGGCTTCCAGAGGGGCTAACAAGGTAGGATTCTGTTACTATGTATCTGTGTATTCTGTCTCAGTTCATGTTTGCTGCAGATCTGTCACACCGCGAATAATATTGGGATCCAGATCAATACATGGAGTCAGATCTCAGCATCCTCTGCTAGGATTGCAGGACTCCCTGAGAATGTGGCTATAAAATCAGAATTCAGTGTGCACATTCTTGTTAGGAGAATGATCTTGCATATCTAGAATCCTGCACCATTCCAGCCTGTAGAAGCCAGCAGCTGTCATCAGATCTCCTCTCCCCATTCTCCATAGGATTGCAAGATGCATGCATAGGGGCTCAGTGGGCATATGGCTCTAGATGGGGAGAATTCAATATATAGAGCCCATCGTATCCAGAATGCATTATATAGAGCCCTGCATGCAGAATGGAGTACAGTATATAGAGCCCTGCATGCAGAATGCATTATATAGAGCCCTGCATGCAGAATGGAGTACAGTATATAGAGCCCTGCATTCAGAATGGAGTGCAGTATATAGAGCCCCGCATGCAGAATGCAGTATATAGAGTCCATCTTATCCAGAATGCAGTATACAGAGCCCATATTATTTAAAATGCAGTATGTAGTGCCCTGCTCAGTGTAGAGCCCATTTATCTAAAATGCAGTATATAGAGCCCATATTGTACAGAATGCAGTATACAGAGCCCATTTATCTAGAATGCAGTATATAGAGCCCATAGTGTACAGAATGCAGTATACAGAGCCCATGTATCTAGAATGCAGTATATAGAGCCCATTTATCTAGAATGCAGTATACAGAGCCCATTTATCTAGAATGCAGTATACAGAGCCCATCTTGTCCAGAATGCAGTATACCGAGCCCATTTTACCCTGCACAATCCCTGCTCTCCCAAGCCAGCTGGGAAAGGCTGCCATGCATGCAGCTGTTGGTATCTAGGTTCTGACAGGGGGTCTCTCCATTGACAATGAGAGCCCAGGGAGTGCAGGAGTCAGCATGGGCTCTGCTGCAGACTTGAAGCCATAAATCACAATATTGCTCTGTTTTGCCTTTCTGTGTCCATGTCTGCAGCTCCTGTTCCCTCCATTTTTTTATTCCCCTTTACATGTCTTTCCTCTCACATTGCATTCTTGCTAACCGCTCCCCACATTTTTTACCCTTCCCTGCTTCCTGTGCCTGGCTGCAGTCTTGGAGTTTTATTTCTGGCAGGAGAAGCAGGGCTGGGGGTGAATTAAAGTCACGGTGTTGGTACTAGTCCATTAATGGCAGATAGAAATGCTGTATACAGAGCTACTTGGACTTCTTATTAGGAATACTCTTTTTTTTTGGTTGTGCAGGTAGGTACATTTTAACATCAAATGCCACAACAGCGTGCATATATGTTAATAGGATTGACAGTGGCATGGGAAGTTGCACATTTTTATAATTATGTATTTAAGCTTAACGTAACATGTGATGTTCAAAGATAACGTTAAATATGCATATAACTGAAGAATGTATTACAAGAGCATTATATGTTTTAAGCAGGCAAGATTCCCAACATATAGCGCAGATAAGCGAGGATTGTAGACTTAGTCAGATTGTATTTAGCTATATATCAGAGAATTTATAATGTTGAAAACATGTTAGACTGTAATGCTAAATTGCAATGTTAAACTGGTGAGCTGTAAACCACCAGGCAAACACGTTAATAGAGGTGAGATATCTCCCAACCGTACATGCTGGTAGCCTGGCTGTTATCAGGTCAAATTATGTAATGACATGTAATTAGCCGGCATAGCTGTATCTGTACAATTGAATAATAAAACGAAAAGGGAAGAACAAAAAATAAAAATAATACTGCTTCTCTTTGTAGCAAGCTTGTGTCGGGCTAGAATCACCCTCACAAGCCAGCAGCATACATAAGGGCTAACACTTGTGATCGTCATTGGGGCAGTTAATGTCCAGGGTGTAGTGCCTGCTTATGAGTACTTCTCTTAGCGATCACACTGTCCCAGGGTAGGTCTGATCCTCAGCCTATTCCCAATCTGGGCGAGTGCAGCAGGTCTGTGCTGAGGTGCTGAAAAATTTGGGCGCAGTCCGGTGGGCCCGCATATTCTTTTGCTTGTGTGCGCTGTGGTAGGTTTCCCTTCCATCTCCAGGTATGGGTGTATGCCAGCGTTTGGGGTCCAGGGTTTCGGGACAGTCTGGTAGCTAAGCCTGCTCCCCTGCCGGGATGGCCGTAGGAGCTTGGTGGAGGGTGGTTGCTCCTACTGGAGATTTTCAGCCGGTTTGGTCAGCGTCTACCTGTTGTGCCTCGGGAGGTTCTCAGCCTGTGATGGCGGTTTGTCGCTAGAGTGTGGGTAGGAGGTTCTTTGCCCACAGGTGATTTCCCCTGCTTCAGCACTGCGCGGTTTCTAACCTCTGGTATGGGCTGTTGTTTTAGCTGCTGTGTTCTGGCTTGCAATTTGGCCCAGAAGGCATTGAAGATTTCATCCAGGCGCTGCTTGCCTTGTTCGATGTAACTGTGAGCGGTTTGCTGCATGAGGCCCAGGCCCCACGTGTTGCAAGGGGAGGCTGTCGCCATTTTGGGTAAAGAGAGATGCAGCGGTGCGTCTCGGCTTTGAAGCCAGATGCTAGGGTGGTGGGCTTTAATCCAAGCGTGATCAGCTAGGACTGGGATAACCCCCACCAGTCCAAGGGGGGAAACGGGGTTCGAGTAGCCGCAGAGTCTGCTTAGTTACCGATGGGGAGGTCGGCCAACCCTCCCGGTCAGTTTCTGAGAGGCCGCTCGTACCGAGTCAGTTCTTTGGTCCCTCAGTGCGCTCTAGTGTCGCGGAGTATAGCCGGCTCGTTCTCTGCACCCTCAGACCTCGGTCTGTAGTTTCTGTGGTCGGCAGTAAGCTGTATTTCAGCGATTTTAGGTAGATTGTGTGGAGAGCTCACCGACCGTGCGTCCGCTCAGCTTGGCGGTTAAGCCCCGCCCCTAGGAATACTCTTTTTTATTAAATGAACCCTAACACACTACACATTAACCCCACACTACCTTAACACAACACACATTAACCTCCACACTAACATACTACGTATTACCTCACACTACCCTAACACACTACACATTAACCCCACACTACCCTATCACAACGCACATTAGCCTCCACACTAACATACTGCGTATTACCTCACACTACCCTAACACACTACACATTAACCCCACACAGCCCTAACACAACACCCATTAACCTCCACACAACCCTAACACAACACACATTAACCCCGACACTACCCTAACGCTATCACTAACCGTTAATCTCTTCACTACCTTAATACTTACACTAATACTAATCCTAACCTAAAAATATCACGTAATATAAAAGATACATAACGGTGGAGTGCGTATTATGATTCAGAAACCAATTGATTGTCTCGTGATTTATTGTGGTGTCTCCAGATTACATCAGTGGCATTTTTGTCCCATAATATTCTGTTCACCATTATGTATTATTTATGTATATATATATATTATGTATGTTCTTTGTATCAGTTTGGTGAATAAATGGCAGTAATGCACTGAAGAATAGGATTGTGGTTTATTATCAAGCTCTGTGGCTGTTTTGCTCCCCCCACCCCAGGCCAGTGGTAAACATAGGGTTAATGGGGATCTTAGAACAGTTTGTGTAAAGGCCTCAGTGTAGCATTTAACCCCTTTAAATCTGGGCCTCCCTGCAAATCCATTTAGCATGGGTAGGTGGCCTTGCAGCAGGCAGTAAAATTCTTGCATAACTATGATTTGCAGGAAACAAAATGCCAATGAAAGTACTGTGTCCTCTAGACAAAGCCTGCTTTGTTCTTTACAAATTAGTATTTATTTATTTATAGGATTTTCTTATTTTACTTGGCAGGATAACGTAGTGTAACGCTGACGTGCGAGGTTCCGAATACTGCAGGGTTTGCAATGAAATAATGGGTGTTTATTATTAAAATTAAATTATTCAATTGTAATGGCAGAAAGTGTAAGAAGTGTGAGTCGGCGATCCAGATTTCAGGGCTCTATTGAAACATATTTCAGAGCTAATAAGTCATTTCTTTGGCATCCGATTACATCATGAGATAACTAACCCATGGGGTTTTTTTTTTTGCATGACCTCATTCCCTGATGTTTTTCATCTATGACCTAATAGCCATACCAAAGAAGGCTGTTCTTGGCTGCTCGGTTATCTATAGTGCCAGCACTCATACAGTACAAAATAGATTCGTAATTCAGAACGAACGACATTACATAATACAGTTCAAATGGCAGCAGCTCATCCATATACGTACAAATAATGTCTTTTTGAAAGAAACAAATTTGTCATTCCAACAATTGTGGGGGTTTTCTGTTTTTTGTTGTTACTTTGAGAGCATATTTTTTTTTTTTTTTATTGATCTTGTTTTGATTTTCTAATAACGATAAAGTAAAAACAGTTGGTTTTTTTTTTTATAAATAATCGTAAAATGTGATTACACTTACATCTTAAATTACTGGTAAAATTTCAAGTGTTCTAAAAGCTATATCTAAATCGGTGTTTATAATACTAAGAAGACCATTAATTATACAATGTAGTTACACCCCTAGTGGTGTGCTGGGTTGATATATTTTCTAAAAGCTGTATTTAGAATTGCTGGAGCATGTGCCCAGCTCTGAGTCATTGCTATATAAATAGTATTTCATTTGTGCTAATACAATTTATGAAGGAAATCGGCACAGTATATTTGCAAAACAGGCTACGAGTCAAACTGTTTTACTGTTAAATCACTTTCATCTATTTAAAAAAAAAAAAAAAAGAACTTAAATCTAAAAATTCAAACTACTATTCTAAATATTATATAACCATTTTCTGTTTTTTTTTGTTTAGTTTAACGCAATTATCTAACACTGTGGTTGAATAGATATTCTCATTAAATGAGGAATTCTGCGATATTACCTTAAATAGCATATGAATGAATTACTTTAAAGGCTTTGATAAATGGGGGATGTCAGATTTCAAGGAAAGTCCCTTAGATACAGCATACTTCCTGCAAAATGTGCTGAGTGAGAAAAGTGAATGTATTATCTTATAAAATATTAATAAAGATGCATTCATTGCAGACATCACTCACAATTAGGAATGAGCAGTGCGTCTCTTTGAAAGCCTTTAAATACTCTATCCAAAATCAATGATTGTTCTGTAGGTAAAGTGAGTTCAGCGATAAGAATTTAACTTATTTTGTAATGTCTCTTTTGATCTTTCTGTTTTCTAACAACTCATTTGAGCAATTCCTTCCTACCTTACATTGAATTAACTCCAAATAAACATTTTCACATCCCGAAATCCGTGTTTTTACACTCGGTAGAGAAATCAATGTGTATGGTGGCAAAAACCTTTTGCCCAGTTGAGAGAAAAAACGAAAAAAATATTAGAGTCAACAAAAGTGCAAAATGTTAAATGAATATTTTTCGCCCATCCCTATTTCTGAATAGAAAAATATGTTTGCACATTTTTCAACGTGTTCAGGAGCTTTCATGTTTAAAAAGAGAAAATTATTTCTCACAATAAAAATGAGCTAAAAAACCCCACCAACAAAACACTATTTTAGGCATTAACCATAAAGTCCTGGCTATTGTTGACTTTGTCCAACAACTGTCTAACTTTTATTTTCAGTTAGATATATAATTGTCATGATGGAAAACGTGGAAGCTATAATATTTGTATTATTCTTATAAATGTAGGAATTTATTCATTGGTTGAGGGAGCTCCCATTCGTTGTAAATGGACTGCCATCCTTATCTTTTAAGAATTTATGTACAGCAGATCTATGGTGCGCATGTGAAGAGTTGTGCGCATGTGATTTATTTCCTCTTTAGGCACTAAGTGTTGGGAATATATTATCAGGCATGAAAGGAATATCAGATGACACCAGTGCCTCATTCTTTAAAAATTAAGAGGCTTGGAGCCCATGAATGAGTGGTCTAGTGCAGCAATGCATTACCTCAGCCATCAGCAGAATTATGTTCAGTGAATTTGTGCTCCCCTGAGACACCCCGCGCCAATAGCTGTTCTTTAATGGCGCAGGGTAGAAGGAGAAGACAGGAATAATCAAACGCAGATTTAAAAGAAAACAGAGAATGTTTTAGATTAATGAATTGATGTGTTTGGTTTGTTCAGTTCCCCTGATTAAAACAAACAGACAATCTCCCAGCGTTGTCCTTAAATCAAGGTCATTTAATGAGTGAGAACACCAACTTGCTCTTGGCTGATGTTGAAAGTATTGTTTTTCGGATGTCTACAGAAGATATGTATTTTTGACTACAACATGAAATGCATAGATACGTGGTGGGAATAAAAAAAATAAGGTCTTTACTGATTTGGTTACATTTTCTCCAGACCCTATTACAGTGATAACTAACTTGGCCGGTCATCTTGAGAAGCATAGTCTTTTTATACACTCATAATTATTACCAATGACCCAAAAATGTGCTTAATAAAAGCCATCCAATAAATTATAATAACAAAATGGACGACCCAGTCCTGGCAAACAGTTGAATCATTTTGAACCTCAGGAAGAGATGCAGAGTGCCCTCGTTTTTTGTGGTTCTGAAAACAGATACTCAAGCTATACCAATAGTCTAGGTTTGGTCAGTATCCCCATTGAAACTGAAGTGAAAGATGCCTAATTCTTGGACTGTTGGTGTGTCGTGAGGAGTGGTTGCCCACCACTGCCCTATGATGTGTGTAAGATATATATCACCTTGATTTCAAGTCTGAAATAATATTTACTCAGTGCAGGTCTTTTACACTTGTTTATGTTGAGGAAACCCAGTGTAATCACATAGTTGGTAAAGAATGAACCCCAAGAGAGGGGCAGCTGCTTACTCTTATAACCCATGGGAAGGGAGTGTTGTTGAATATGTATGGCTCTTGAGCATGAAAGAATTAACTTTTTACTTTTCTCACCTTTGTGTATATATTAAAATATATCATCTGCAGAGCATGTTATCTCCATAACTCTATATCTTCCTATCTTGTCTTCCCAAAGACCGTCCAGAATGGGTGGAGAGAGGAAGCCTCCGCAAGCTATGCAAGCCCAGAAACTGGCCGGAATTTTGCGGGAGGATAGTGAAGGGGTGTTGGTGATTGACTGTCGCTCGTTTAACGAATACAACAACCTTCACGTGATGGGTTCTGTGAATCTCTGCGGCTCCAAGCTAGCCCGCAAACGTCTCCTCAAGGAACTGTTAGTGCTGCCCCGTCATCCCAAGGTCAGCATTCGAAGACACAAGACTTAATAGATGCTGCTGGTCATGTTACTACTATAACTGTCTGATTCAATGTCGTTATGACATCCACGGGGTTTATTCACTAAATATTTATTCGCCATGCGTGGACTACCAAATCACAAAATGTAATGAAAACTAACCAAGATCGATGATTTCTTGCATGGTGGAAATGGCCTCAATTTTCCTACTGGGTTATCAATTCTCCATGATTAACTTTTTAGTGAATAGACCGCATATATTGTCCCCAAAATATATTTAGATTACACAAATTATGTTTCATAAATAACTTTCCAAGCTTAGTAATCTGTTGAGACAGACTGTATGTATCTATATGTAGTTAAAGTATATCTTCCAGCCTGGGGCTGATTGTGATTAATAGGAGTTGTTATGGCCTGTTTCAACTGATTGAAAAAAATAGACTGGTTTACTTGTTCTCCCGCTCCCCAGGCTGTTACTGTGTGATAACTCCCTTCACCCCCACTAGATTCATGCTGAGAGTGATGGGAGTTGTATTCTGGCAAAAATAGAAAAGCTGCATAGCCACTAGAGAGGGAAATGCCGTTTAAATCGGTGATGCTTACAAACATAAAACGTGCATAATTCAGCACTATAATCAATAAAATGCAGACAGCTGTCTGCCGTATTCATTTTTACATGACGCAACCTCAAAAATGCATTTTTTATAAGCCACCATGCTTAAACAAGCAATGTCGTCACCCTAAGGGTGATTAGTCAGTGCTAGCACAGTTAATCCCTTAATGTCCAGTGACATTGTATGCGTATTAGGGTGGATTTTCCTTACCCAATGTCATGAAGGGGTTAAGGTTCCCACTGTATCCTGCGGGCAATATAATGCACACCTTCTATATACATTATCGATAAAATCTAAAAGGTGTAGAGACGTAATGACCCATATGGCCACTTCAGACATTTCTCATGATATAGGAAAATGTAATTTTCCCCCTGAGGCTGTTTGAGCTAAGCATCATGGTAAATGTAGTTCCCAAGCCTCTGCAGTGCCATGTTTACCTTTCACTGAGTTAACCTCATCAGGTGCACAGATGTTTGGGAAACATCCCTGGCAGCCAAGTTCACACAATCTGTTTATTAAACAAATAGTAACATGAAGCCATTGTAATAGTACTGCATTGAGTATCATCTCAATATCACTAAATCCTCATGCAAGGTTTATTCATGCATGGAAGGGTTTATAAATGACGGCTCTGGGTTTTTCCAGACAGAGTCAACTACAGGTTACTCTAGTGCTTGTCCCCTGCTAGGCACTCCCTATTGTTGTCACCTCACCCAGCGAGTTGGTCAGGATATTTTTGCTCAAAGGCAGGTAAAGTGACAGAGCCTCTGAGTGACTCAGCTACGTGTGAACCTCACATTGGCCTTTTTTCCCCCCAGAGCAGGGGATCCCAACCCAGTCTTCAAGTACCCGCTAACAGTCCCGGTTTTAGGGATTACCCAGTTGTGTCTAAAGTGTTGTTTTTTTTTTGTTTTTTTTTCTAAAAACACCTTAGACACAACTGGGTAATCCCTATATCCTGGACTGTTAGTGGGTACTTGAGGACTCGGTTGGGAACCACTGCCCCAGGGGTTTACAAGCATGTTCGGTACTGAAACGGTTAAAGCAAGCAGTTTTTACAAATTATGTGCATACGCCGTAGAACCGGCTTGCTCTTTCAATCACTGCTAATTGTAGGTAAGGTGCCAAATCAGTTAGAATGTTTAATCATTGCAGGGGTGTTTGAATGGTAGATTTCCCCCAGCTGTTACAAAAATAAAACTCCAAAGTTGCTTTACTAACTGTCAGGATTGAAAAGCATCATGGTACTTGTAGTTCTGCAACAGCCATGGAGCTCCTTCCAGCCCCCATCCTACCCCCTATTATTTAAAGGGACAGCTCATTTTAGAGAATCCCAGGTGCAGATTGTTGGTTCATTACATTCTGCTTACCGATTGAACAGAAGGTTGTTATTATGTTGACAAATGACCAGGCAAATTGTAGGACAAGATAGCCAATATGGAAAAAAAAACACTAGTCTGAGACGGTTCATTTTTCCATTTTTTATGTTATTTGAATAGATTCCTAGTTGAATTAATAGAGAACGGTCAGTGGTATTGCCCCTTAATACATCTCAATGCTATATGTTGGTGTTATCTAAAGGTATAAATTAACAGTGGATTTTTTTTTTCTCTCTGCTTGTTTTTTAAATTATAGATTGACCCTTCGTACGAGAAGCAGGTGGTGGTCTACGATCAAGGGAACCACGAGATATTAGCTGGTCACTTTGTGTCCTTGGTGGTGGGCAAACTGGAGAAGAAATACAGCTCTGTGTCTTTACTCGAAGGTATATATAAGGTTCTGCTTGTTTTAAACGAAAGGCCACGGAAGCCATATTTGTATGAATATTTATTGACAAATTTTAGGGATACAAAATAGGAAAAGACAAAGCCTCGTTCGAACTTTAACCCCTTAAGGACACATGACGGAAATATTCCGTCATGATTCCCTTTTATTCTAGAAATTGTGTCATTAAGGGGTTAATAATCTGAATCCCTAAATAGTAATCACGAGATCAAATAGTTTCAAACATCGCAGAAAAATCATTTCAATAAAACATTTTGTAATTCATTTTAAAACTATACTTGGGTAAATGTAGATCTGAATGTTATTATGAAAGCATTTCGGTTTATGAATTATTATAGGTTAATGATTGACATAACTGTATGCAGCTTTCTATGCAGACTAACTTCTGAACTTTCCGACTGCTTAGTCATAAAACCGTGCAGGAAGTCAATTTGCATAAAATAGTCTTATGATCTACAAGGAAACACCAATATTTCCAATTTGGAGCCTTTAACTAGTAATAATCGAATTACTTTTAACATAGTTTAATAATTTTCTATATTTCTATAATTCTATTATAACATATAAAGATATTTATGGGTAGTGTCAATATATTGACAGTTATGAGTTAATTGCTGACTGTAAGGTGCTGAGGGTAATGAGAGTTATGCTTAAGAGCAGCTAAAGCGCTAAATTAGAGTTTGGATACTTTTTTTTCTGCTGGAAACCTTGATTGAGCTTTTATATACTAGGTTTAGAACAATACCATTAATCATATTCTTTAATTTCTCAGTTTAACACAGTAAAATTTAAATACTTTAACTCCAGCTGTTTGAAACTACAAATCCCAAGAACCTTTGCCCGCACCAAATCTAAGAAAAGGTTTGTGGCGGTTTTACTTTGCTAACAGCTGGGGGTCCAGTGTTCGAAGACTCCTTTTTACGTCATACTGCTGAACTATAAGTCTCATCACTCTCAGCCTAAGACCTACGTGGATTTTGAGTGAACCCAGGTTCAGCGTCTTTGTGTATGGCTGATTTATCGTATACTGCTACGCTAGCATTGCGCAGTTCATTGACAGAAATGCTGGGAACGTTTTCATTGATTATTTTTTTTTCTTCTCCTCTTTCAGTCTAAAAATGTCTTGTTGAGTAATTTTGTCTATTTCCGAGTCATATCAGGTTTTAAACTAGTCAATAGTCATCAGATGAAATGCCTTACAGTATTACACGTTGCGATGCGTAATTCATGTGGTTGAGTGTTAGCTCATCACTCCAGAGAAAGACTCAATGGAGCTTTGAACTGTTCATTAAATATTAAGCATTTTTTTAAACAGAATAATAAAGAAAATAAAACTCTTTCATGCTTTGATATATACAGACACACACGTGTAATCTCTCTTAAGTTGCAAAATATTTCTTATTCCTTAAACTTGTCTTATTGCAGCTACTGTTGTTCAACTATTGTACAGTGCTGGGGCATATGTTGGTGTCCAAACATAATATTGTGTTTGAAGCCAATCTCCTGTAATGTGTAGTAAGAACAGGCACCAATCCTCTTATAATTTGTCCCAGAATGCAGTTTTTCTCTAACATATCATCTATTTTGGGTAACTTGCAGAAATAGGGAGAGAAGTTTTGAGTTGAGTCGAACTCGCCCTTACCCCTTAAATCTAATCTACTGTCATTCAAACAAAAGACTTGTTACATTTAAATAATGTTTGCTCAAAAAAAAAGCAAACAAAAACTAAAAACAAAGGTGGCCCCTGGAAATAGATGCAAGCATCTTCATTTTGGGAAGCAATCAGAGTTGTTTGTGGTCGGCCTCTTGCATCCATTTTTAGTGGCCATCTTGGAGAAGACATTTGCAATGTTCAGGTAAGTAAATCTTGTAAATAAAAGGAATGAGACAGCGCTAAATAACTTATTGCAGCAACCTTAAAAAGGGAATCCCTCAAACCCTATAAAACAAGATAAAATAAGAAGCTGACGAAAATTCAAGGAAAGAAGAGAAAAGTTTCAGGGTATATTGGTTGGGGTGTCTTGGTTGGTGGAGCCTCTGCTGCTGGTTGTTTCACGGTTTAAATAAATATCGCAAAATAGACAGTAAATAATAGTATAAAACTGTTCTTACCGGTGGGATATGTTAAATGCATAATTTCGAATAAATGCCAATAGTGTTGTCAGCGGCAGATAATAATAAATAATAAAGAAATTTCATAAAGAAGAGCAGACCCACGTTTTGCGATGTTGGGTGGATATCTCACGATTTTGCGTTGAATTTGGTGAATTTTGTAGTTTTGTACCATAAAATACTAGGCTGTAATAATAGTAAGTTAAAGGATAAATTATAAAAGATAATTGGCACAAGCAAATGACCAAAAATACTTTAATATATATAAAAAACACAATATTCAAATATCCATAACGCGTTTCGTCACAAAAGGGACTTTATCAAATGGATTAACTAATAATGAATTATTCTTGGTTAATCCATTTGATAAAGTCCCTTTTGTGACGAAACGCGTTATGGATATTTGAATATTGTGTTTTTTATATATATTAAAGTATTTTTGGTCATTTGCTTGTGCCAATTATCTTTTTTATAGACACATATCCTTCTTTTTACCCTGGCCTTTTTATTGTTATTTTAATTATTTTTAATGGTTTTAAAAAAACCTACAAATTCCTGGAAGTTTCCTGTACCCAAAGAAATCCGTAGGTGGGGATCAATCCACCCAAGCCATCACTAAAGAGCAGTGGGTCTGCTCTTTCTTTGTAAGTACATTTCTTTTATTTTATTATTATCTGCCATACAGTGAGCACTATTGGCTGTTTGTTTTATTCCGAGAATTGGATACCATTCACGGTGAGGAACCTGCTTTATATCCCACAAGCGGGGATTAAACCGCTGTTCGCGCTTTACTCCAGAGCTGGACATTAGCTCTGGTAAATGTGAGTTTTATACTATTATTTTTACGTCTATACCTGTATTTTACATACTACACCATTGGATGTCCCTTTTTCCCTCTTTTTATTTTTCATAAACGAGTGAAACCACCACATAAATAGAAGATCCCACCAACCAAGGACACCTGTAAGAATATACCAGTTGGACTTTCTCTCTTCTTTCCTTTTATTGGACTCTATTTTACGTGCGCAGCCTTTTATTGTCTTTAAGTAAATCTTGTAATCTATACATTTGCTGGAGATTTTGCTAGCACAATGTATATATGTGTAACCCTGTCTAACTGATGCTTATTTTGCCATCAAAATGTTTTGTCCCTTTAACTTTATATTGTTATTTCTGTGCTTTCTCAAGAGTTACGTAGAACTAATTAACCAGATTAGAATGTTTGAAGGAGACCATACAGATGATGACATTTTTTAATTTCTCCCTTGCATCCTTGTCTGTGCTTTTTATTAGGTGGATTTGCAGAATTCTCATCTCAATTCCCAAATCTATGCGAGGGCCGGACGACTTCCAACATTTTGCACACAAGCATATCTCAGCCATGCCTCTCCTCTTCGACCGTCTCAGTCACCCGCATCTTGCCGCACCTTTATCTCGGCTCACAGAATGATGTCATGAACCAGGTATGAACCCAAAACATGCTTATCTCACTTAAGGGTTTCTATACATGTGTTCTTCTAATTATGTTTGGGATGTTGTAGGATAAGGAATTGAGAAAAAAAAAACAACAATAATTTTTTTTTTATTACCCTAATAAATTCACTTATTAAATAACTCAATATTTACTGGTTTACATGTTTGTCTTGTATTGCTTAAATTGTTTGTCAGTGCTCCACCAGTCACTATTTAATAATGCTGATTAGCAGTTTATTAGGAGTTGTTTTTACTCATGTAAAAAATAAATATATATATATAATATAATATGTGTGTGTGTGTGTGTGTATGTATATGGAGGTGTGTATATATATATATATATATATATATATATATATATATATATATATATATATATATATATATATATATATATATATATATATATATATAATATATAAGGAATTTGACCTTATTCTAAAGTCAGAAGTGTACCGTGGCCTATCCGTTCCTTTAGTGTGGACTGACATTTCCCTGCAGACCTGAACGTAAAGTTGAACCTTTGCTTCATTGGAAAATTCTCTAAAATTGTCCTCGTTGCATTCCCGCAAGCCTTGCAGTAGACATTTTAGTCTGGCTTCCAGTGCCTTTGTTTAAATACCATAAATAAAGCACCATGTGTCCTGCAGAATGTGCGTCTGATCACATGTCCTTCTTGGAATGGGGGCTGCTTAGTTATGTAGCTTAGTTTCTGCAGAATGTGCAGCAATGCACAAAAAGCTCATCAGAGCAACAAGTTTAGATATAGCCCTTTATTGCAGTTTAACGTAACCTGCAGGCAGATTTAAACATCTGCTGGAAAAGTGTGTGTCTGAGTCTGACTCAACCTCACGTTGTTATTAGTCAATAAAATCTAGAGATCTATAGGGTCCCTGCTATCGACCTAGAAAAGAGTGTGTTAATCCTCTTTTAAAGCACCTAATTCACATATAGATGGGCATTTGTATTCCAGTGTGCCATTTTTTGTTTTAAATTTTTATTTTTTAAAAAAAAAATCAGGTGTTCAAATCTTGGCGTGAAGTATCGACACTTAAACTGGTTACCTGTTTTCCAAAGCAGGGAATGTAACTGTCACTTTTTAGTAGTTGAACCGTATTTTTGGAAGTAAAATCTGTTGGGTATAAGGTAGTCTGTTTGAGGGACCTTAAGGATCTTTCCGAAAGAAAAAACAAACAAAACCAGTATAAAGCCTAAAATCTGATCAAAGCAATGCCTGGTCTAAGTGTTTCGTGTCCCTGGGGAGCAGATGTGAGTGACAGTCTTGACTTGCCCACTTACATGGCTGTGACTCAGTGATTGTCTCAGCATGCCAATGTGACCAGCTGGAGTGAGATCACTGGGTGGGTTAAGATTAGATTAGAAGGTTAGGTTTAGTTTTGTGGTTAGAAAGATGAAACTGCCAGGGAGAATCAGGTGTGGTTTGGGATGAGAGGGATAAAAAAAACCTCCAGCATTAACCACTTCACTGCCACGCGTTTTCATGAGAGAGCTGAGTTTCTCTGTGCACTGTATGGAGAACCCGTTCTAATCTCAACGTTCCATGTTCTATTCTTGACTCTGTAGTTTGTCCTTCCCAAGGTCAATACTAGGAATGCCATTAAATTGGGTAATACTAACCTCTCTTCATAATCTGCTAATCTAATTTGTTTTGAATCCGACAGCATTTTCTAAGAGCTTTGAGTCCCCTTTGATAGACCAGATCTGTATAAAAATAGATTATGATTATTATTGGGACTTTGGGTGAGCAGTAAGCATCTCTCGTTCCGGTTTTAAACTCCAACTACCACAATTCTTAGCAAACCTTCCCTAGTTGGGGATAATGGACAATATAGTTATATAATACTAGGAAACCTACTTCTAAAGCAGCGGATAGCGCTCCAAATGCTGCTGAATGACAACTCTCATGAATCTCAGCCAGCTTAGGTCTGTTGTAGTTTAACAGCTGGAGAGCAACCCCAGTCCATATAAATCTAGCAGTCTTGTAAAGTATTGCTACATTCGGTGATTTATTAATTTTTTTGTTACTTATCTTGTAACTGGTGACACCTTTAAAATTAGCCTAAAATGAAAATCACCTACTCTGTGCCATATGTTATTTGAGTGAGTCATAACGATAGATTGTTCTGATTCATTCGTTTAATAAAACGCACATTCATTTCCTGTATCTTCTTGAATCTCTTTGCAGGAGGTGATTAACCAGAATGGCATCACTCATGTGTTAAATGTCAGTTACAGTTGTCCAAAGCCCCTCTTCATTCCCGATAACCATTTCCTACGCATCCCGGTTAATGACAGCTACTGCGAGAAGATCCTGCCATGGCTCAGCGCAGCTGTTGAATTCATAGGTATTTATTTGTCACTTGCATACTAGCTGGGTTCGTAACAGGTTAATAATAATAATGATGATTACAATGATGCCCTCTTCAAGCAGAATATTTTTAAGCGCCAATCAAATTTACCTTAATGAAGCAGTTTTGGTGTAGAGATCGTGCCTTCTGAAATCTCACCGCTCAATTCTGACATTTAGGCGTTCAATCACTTGGTTTATGCAGCCCTAGTCACACCTTCCCTTTTTGCACAGTGTGTTTAATTTAGAATTTCACGTCACCTGCTCTGTTAATACCCTTCTAGAGTCTGTAGAGGCCTACGGTGTGTGATTAGATTTCAATTACCAAAGCAGGGGACAGAAACTTAAAAAGTAAACACACTGTGCTGTATGTTCTGATTGAAAATGAAACCACAGCCAGGGGAGGTTTGGCTAGGACTTAGTAAACATAAATTATTATATATAAATCCTAAATTAAAGATAATTGAGCCGTGAGATTGTAGGGGAATGATCTGTAAACCAAACCTGCTTCATTAAGCCAAATTTGTTTTGGTGCTTAGACACCAAATGGATGGAAGAGACATTGAGAGGATATTATTTAGCACCAAAACCACCGAGGACTCAGTTGTGGCCTTTCCTGACAAAAGGTCTGTTTCTAAGATTTTTAGAGACATCCTAGAGGCTTGTTCCAAAGATGCTTTCTGCTGTGTGACAGAAACCCAGGCAAACAAAAGTATCTTGTATATATGGGTGTTATTTTATTTCTAATTTAGTCAATCCTAATATGTTGAATACATTGCAATATAATTGTATTTCATGACAATAAGCGGTTTAAGCCGCTAAACTCAATAAGGGAACATTCAGATAACTGAAACTCTCTTTAATATAACATCATTTGGGTTATTTTACAGAAAAGGTCGAGCTGGTTAACGGGAAGGTGTTAGTTCACTGTCTGGCTGGAATCTCGCGATCAGCAGCCGTCGCTATTGCGTATATAATGCGGTCAATGGGGCTCTCTCTGGATGATGCTTACAGGTAAAAAAGCCTATTGGGTGCAGAGTGTGATCTATGTGTTTTAAATGTACATTCTAAAAGTTACCAAGTTAATGCAAATTATTTAAAAGGAGTCTGTGGATGGCTACAGTTGTGGGCTACACGTGGCCGTATATGTTTTGTTAAATTTTAAAAAGTAAATGTATCTTTGGAGGAGGAGTATATTTAAAAGCCTACTAGGAGATGGCAATTCATCTTTTTGTACTTTTTCTTTAACTATTTTTATTATTAATATTTTTAATATCATTAAATTCTGGTATCCCATGCAACTGTAAATGACTTGTGCTTTTCTGTGCATGGCTGTAAACGTATGTATAGGGAGGACGTCACGGTAAAATGACGCACATTGCTTTTGTGTGATTAGTATGTGTTGGGAAGATGCCCGCGCCAATCACACAGAATTTGCAGAGCAAATAACCATCACAATTTAGTAAAGATGGTCAGTTCCGCAGCACTTGATTGACCGGCTGTGAACAGCGTGCATGTCTATCTAGCCATAAAATCGGTTTTGTACTAGAACTGAAAGAGGGCATGTGTATATAGTATGCTCAAAAACAGTTGTTAATAATTACTTCTTATATACCTTGACATTGATCCTTTACACCATTGTGTTATTTAAACCTTCTCTTCTTCTACTTTCCCAAATAGGTTCGTTAAAGAAAAGAGACCCACCATTTCTCCCAACTTTAACTTCCTCGGGCAGCTCCTGGAGTATGAAATGAGTATTGCAAATTCTCAATCATCTGAAACCAAAAAAACATCCCTCACTGTTAGTCCTGTGGAAAGGAAGAGCTTTGATCACCCAACTGCTCACGAGCAGACAAGTGTGAACCAAACATGCCAAAATACCTGCAATAGCAATGCAAACTCACAGGAAGTAGAGGTAGCCATTGATGCCACCAAACTGGATGAGAACAGTACGAAAGCAGAATCTGGAGCTACTCTGGAGGGCAGGTTTACCTCCATGGGAATTTCTTCAGACCAGCGTCGGGAAATTAGCAGTTTGAAACGCTCCTTCTCTCTGGACATCAAATCTGTGTACACGCCTCTGTCTTCTTCTATTACAACGCACAAAAATTTTTACCAACCCTCAGTGTCTCAGCTGGTGCCATCCCAGTCAATTTCTTCCAAGCCAATGGGACTGTGGGATCGCTTTATAGGCTTTGGACTCAATTTTCTGTACTACTATTCAGAAGATGAAGATGCTCAGCCAAAGCTTGGCCAGGTGGAAAAGCCAAATGAAATCTCAGAAAATATCCCAGAAAACTTAAAAAAGCGCAGAGCAAACACAAAAAAGCTTGATGATGGACCTCAGCGACCATTTACACTGAACATTCCAAATTGTAAAGGCCAAACACTCTTGAAGGAGAAGAACATGGAAGTGGGCTCTAGAGTCCGAACTATTTCTCCTTTACCTCTGTGAGGGAAACATTAAGTTGTCTTCTCCAAAGCACCTCTTTCCAATGGCTGTGCATGGGAAAGAACAATAGGGATCTATTCAAACAAAAGATTTGTAGAACTTGTTGGTTTATTACCCCAAATCCTTTCTTTTCCGCATGCTAAAGATCCCAGACAGAGGCTTCAGTAGCATGCTGAAGAATAACTGTTTTAAATGTTTCTTCATATTGAATGAACAAAACTGGACAATGACTTCTTTTGATGGTGACAACTAGAATTTGGTTTAGTTTATAGTGACTTCAATATCACCAGTTGGTCAGGATTAAAAGTCCACCGTCCTATTTATAAGGCTTTTGAAAAGCCTGATGTTTGATTCTCTTGTTTGCAATTAATGATCTAGAACTTGTAAGAGGTGTCCAGGAAATCGCATTGAGGGTACGACTCTTTACTGCTTACCTGAGTCTCGAAGGTGGGATCTGGAAGTTTCCTGAGTTCCCCTCAACTTTCTTTATCAATTAGTTCATAAAATGGTCACTGACCAGAGGAGCAGATGGCTTTTATGTACCCAGTATAACTCCTGCTTTACCCAATTTTTGTTTGGTTTGTTTAAAAAGAAACAAAAACATGGATCGATGTGGCCTTCCTGCTAGAAGCATCAACCCGTACCCAGTCCAAAGCATGGATTCTTGCAATGAATGGCCCACATGAGTTCACCTTTATGTATTTGTAGATTAAAGTTAAGAACAGTGGACATTTATTTTTCCTCTAGGTTCTAAGTGAATTTTTTTTCCTAAAAGCCAAGATGTGTCTGTGACAATGCTTTTTACCCTTATATCTGTACTTTTTTTTTCTTTTTTTTTTTTTTGCTGTGAAATTATTTAATTATCTTCATGCATGTTCAGGGTTGTTTTCCCCCTGCATACGGTTCCTTATGTGACCCACCCCTCAGGATAAAAAGGTCATTTACTTTAATGGTCCTTATTATAAGCAGGTGGCAAACTGACATACTCTGACTTGTATTTCATTATTTATTTATTACTGTGTTTTTAATATCCTCTTGCTTATGTTTCATTTTTGAAGCTGCTATTTCTCCCCCCCCCCCCTGTAATGAACCCTTTGAGAGACTGCACGTAGGGCTTTGTTTCCTGCTAAAAAGAGATTTGCCCCGCAAGATAAGGTGATTGTGCGTGTTGCGTGGTCGAGGGTTATTTATTTATTTATTGAAACCGCAGGCTCTCTATTTAAAGGGACACCACCACCAATGATACACCAATTATTAAATGATACATTATATTAAATTTCATTACAATTAAAGATCCTGTGTCTAGTATATGTCCAACAAAGCTGAACTCTCTTTTATAATCAGGGATGACAATTATAACTGAATTGGCTTTGTAGATACCCGTGTGTGCTCAAATGGTCTAATCATATATTCTGAGAAAAAAAATAATTAATTTTGATTTAACACCATTTTTTTTAAAGGAAGAATACTTTTTCCACACTCACAGCTACAGCAGATCATTGAGTGTCCAATGGTCACAGGTACCAATGGCCAAATTATACATTTCAACAATTTAGTTTTGTGGGTAATCTCAATTTTAGACTGATTGAATATTGTTGGACAATCTATAATCCACTCTGTACTGTGCACTGCATCTTCCAGAATACATACTGTTACTTAATGTTCACTTTTTTGTGGGAAACAGATGGCAATTGACCCAAACATGGCTACCAGGCATACAAGGAGTATAGTCTTATAGAGTGAAGGAATCATTATAGACAACTCACCGATTCTAGCTGGGAATATGGATATCGTAAATGTATCTGATTTCTTAAGGTGTTAACACTGAGGATGTAGGTAATTAGAAGACGTCCTCACTTGTTTTTCTCCTTGTGATTAAATTATCGTACACAGATAAAGTAGTCACTGGATGTAAGAATCTCTTCATGACTCTAGTATCTGCTCCAATGTAAAGAAGGCTTATGAACTATAAATTTCAGCTATAAAAGGTATAAATGTCATAGTTACAGTCTGGGATTCTAATCAGATTATTTACTAAGGTAGGAATTGCCAGGAATTCAAAGTATAGTTAAAATTTACGCTCCAAATAGCTGGAGAAACAAATTGACCGGAACATTTTTTCGTGGTTGGAGATTTTTGTCTAAAATTTAAAATTCACTTTGAATTCCAGGCGATTTCTCACTATGGTGAATAACTTTGTATGACTGCAGATTTATGAATGAAGCAAAAGCCATTTTCTGCCTCCCCTCCCCTCCCCCCCTCAAGTACACAAGAAAGTTCCAATTTCATCCCATAAATTAATAATGTAGGTGTTCAATACATTTTCAGCCTCCACTCCAATCACTGGCTCTGCATTTGCTTAATTTTCCCCTCCTAGACCATTACGTACTTAAACCCTACTGCACATACACTAAAAATAATACGTAGTCGTTGCTGTACATTTAAACGAGGACTTTTCATGCGGGAGATATATTGTCTATGTCTTCTAGGTCCTTATATTTGATGTGAATTTCTAACATTATATTTTGGCTCTGTGATGACAGTTCGGGACACTGACGCATCGCTTGTCCCCCTTGTTCTGCATTTTTACTTGCCAAAGTGGCACACGGGCTAAAATACAGTAGCAGCTGAAAGTGGCTACCGTTACTGACTAATTGACGATTAAAATTTTTATCAATTCCAATGAAGAACCGATATATACAAAGAGCACCCGAGTGCAAGCTACGTTTTATTTGTTAATTTCGTTTTTTTGTGTTAATTTCCCCCTCTTTTCATTATTTCTAGTAACGCTTTAAAACTAACCATCTTTTGTAAAGCAATGGCAAAAGAATGAAAATTTCACAATTATGTACGTGAAATAGAAATCAATGCACAAATAAACCCCACATGTTGAACAAGTTCAGTAAGTGAAGCATTGAAAGCAGAGTCATAATAACCGGTAGGCGTATCCCCCCGGCAAATGTGTTTCTCAGTTCTATTGTCCACAGCAAACAGTAAACGTGTATGTATGTATATATATGTATGTGTATGTGTATGTGTATGTGTATGTGTGTGTGTGTGTGTGTGTGTGTGTGTATATATATATATATATATATATATATATATATATATATGTGTGTATATATATATATATATAATTTGTGGTCGGCAACATAAAAGAAGTGATTTTAAACTAGTAATTAAGTCGGTTGTGGTGTGCCAAAACCAATATTCAGGTAGACCTGTAAATAAAAAAAGGCCCCTCAAAGTAAAGAACGGTACGGCCCAGGAAACAGGGAGGAAATGGGGTTATATAGGCCGCTAAACCCCTCTTACAATTACAGGCCGTTGGCCTTTAAAACGTATATATTTATATACAGACCTCTGTTACTGTGAAATGTGTGGGCTAAGACAGTTTACTAATTTACTAACATGCCTCAAGTCCTGTGGAAATACTCTCACTATTGATTGATCCTCTGATTATAAAAAGGTTTAGTCTGGCTCTGATTGGAAATTTAAATTGCATTTGTCTGACACGAATACTCAAATATTATTATTACTATTATTATTATTACAGATTTTTCCATTTTTAATATATTATCTTGTGATATTTGTTTTCCCTCTGTTTATATTTTCTCTATGTGCAGGTACACAATAGTTCTGAATGATTTTACCAGGTGAATGTATTGCTCCCTGTTACTTCTCTGGTTGACAATAATAAATATGTGAATCTTTATGGTTCCCCTCTACTGTTGCTTGTTTATTGTGTTGCTAATAAACATTGAACTATGTTTGGCAGGGAAGAGCGAATCTGGGTCACAGCTGTTGCTGGCTTCAGGTCCCTGCCCGGCCAACAACCATCGGCAGATGGGAGATAAACTTGATGACATGAGCCGCTCTGGTGCCTTCACACAATCCTTTGTGTCATGTAATATTGCTCTTTAAAAGAAAATGGAGTCTTTAATTCAAGTTTAAAGTGGTTATAAAAGCAGAAGATGATATTTAGCCATGAATTGCGGAGAGGTTACTCCAGCCTAATAAAATCTTTCTTATAGGCATGACTAGATATATTGTTTGGGAAAGTGGTTGTGGGATATTTCATGACATGTGCACAGTCGTTATTCGGCATGTGCTAACTCCTTAATTAAATGACACTCTAACACCAATTTCTGTTGGAGTATAAAGTCCACAGCTTTATTATTTATAAATATATATAATTTAACAATTTAGGGTCATTGTCACAAGTACTAATTACTTCCGACCTTCATGCCCAATACCCCTGACAATGACCCTACCAAATAACAATAATGAACATTCCAATAATGCATAACGTTTTACACATGGCCTACCAAAGAGGCCCCAAAACCATATGTTTAGCTGTAGGTGTGTACCCAGACACCCCTACACCCCCAGGTTCGTAGCCACCAACAAGCTAGAACCTACCAACCACTTTTCCCCTCCGGCCTATTCCTGCCTAGACCTTGGCCTACCCCTTCCTATTCCACCTAAATCCTATTTAACCCGCGCCCTATTCCCACCGCTGTGACCAAACGGGAACTGCTTCAAACCAAAAAGGGAGGGTGGGAGGGACAAGTAACAAGTAAGTGAGGTTTTTGATTAGGATGGCCACTTCACTAAAATGGCCGTTACTTAAACCCCTACTCTCCTCCCCCCAAACTAAATATCAATTTTATCCACACCCCTTGACCCTAACTTCACCTGCCCACTCTCTGGCTCTGTCATGGCCCACTCCCCCACTGCGTTGCTCCATGGGCTTCAGTCTTTGTAATGATTTATATAGAAGAGGTGTAAGAGAAGAGTCACATTCTTTTTGGGGTGTTTCATTGGACACGGTGATGATGAAATTGACTGCACACAGTGCTGTATGCAGTATGTTTATCTTCTGAAAATGCTGCTCCTTCTTTGATGGAGTTGAATGTAGGCCTCAGATATTTTACTCCCACCATAAACTTGTATATTCCATCAAGTGTCATCCTCCATATCTCCCTTGGCTGTTCTCCGAAACTGAATTTAACCAAAGCACTGAGCAATTCAGACTCTTCTTAGTTCCGTGGTAATATCTAGAGAATTCCATTCATCTACCTCATTATTATTAATACCAGTAGAATTTGATTCCAGTGGAACTTGGAACTTAATAAAAGCCCAGGAAATAACAGAGTACCTATATATCACCTCCACTATACTTTCTCTCTCAACCTCACTGTACCATCTGTTTAATATTTTTTCCCTTTCCTTCATGAAGTCTAGTTTCTCTCCCAGTCATACCTGAGCATCATTTGCCTCAGATGGAAACTTTACTTATCTCGAGAATTATTTCCCAACAGATGCACCCAGCCTTGTTTATTCTGACTGCGACTCTACAGCATCATTTGTGATATACGTCACACATAAAGGGATGTTTGTAACTTTAACAGTAAGAGGAATGCAGGTATGGAACGGCACTGAAAGGTCTTTTGGCTTTCTGTCTATCAATGTTGATTATCAATGTGTCCCACCAGAGAAAGTTCACTTTGACTTCTGAACAAAGAATATTCTGAATTATCAATGTACCTACATGAGCATGACATGAGCTGGCCCGTTGCCTAATCTACTTTGCCTGAATTCTTTCATCAAGCATGGACTGCCAAAACTGAAAAACGGCTATAATATATGCAGAGAAGTTTTCTGTGGTGGCCAAGAAAAGCAGGATACATGCGGGAAAATCCTGGGACAGCAGGTAACAAGTCACAGGTCCCAAATCAGGACTGTTCCACTGAATCCAGGGCTCTTGGGTGCTATATATGTCTAGTAAAACATTAGTAAAAGTATCCATTAAGTATACTGTTTGGTTCTTGGTAACTCAGAGAGGAATATCAAAAACAATGATGAGTTTCAGCTGATAAAAATACCCCATCATCTTTAACTTAAAAGTCAAAATGTAATCTGCAGTTACTCAGTTTACAATGTAGCTGCTTCATATATGTGCATCCAAAAATAGACCTTGCATGCTAAGCTTCTCCAGAGGAGAATCTGTCCTAGGAGATACAAATGAGAAAAACAGTTATGTAAAAATAGCTTCAGAGAAAATAATTATATGAGACTGGGATCTAAGGGGCTGGGCAGCTCTGTGTCTAATATATAACAGAGGTTTCTTCTCTCCTCGCTTCCTTATTCTGTCCACAGTTTTAGGGTGGCAGCAATAAACATAATATTTCTTTGCCGTTGGTATTCCTGCACATGTCCTGTTTGAGATCTCCCATTATATATGAGTTCTAGAAGGGAGTCCTAGGTAAAACGGGTGGTCCTAGTTTAAAAATGCTCAGATCAGACTCACAAAGACCCTAACGTGTGGTTCTGTTTCAGTTACCAATTAAATGTACCCACAATCTATTAATAAAATCAGGCAGACAGAAGGGCAAACTGCAGACATTATGGAAGTGGAGAACAAAATGGCTGCACTCTGGTAGGCCCAAGGAAGAAAAGATAATGAATAAAATTTTTTAAAAAAAAGGCAAGTGAGAAGGCACATAATCGTTACAATACAGGAAGCATAAGGAAAGGAAAACCAAAATAAAAAAAACAGTGACAGGGTCACTTTAACCTTCATTCCAAGATTAATTTAATAAACCAAATTTATGGTAATGAGCTGACAGGCACCGAGTCTATGGGGGCAATCCCTAAAAGGTCACTGTTATGGCAATAAGCATAAGTAGAGACAGGGCAAGAAGTGGGTGAAAATTGGTAAAATATGGCGACGCAGCATTTATAACCGGAGGAAAACTGTTTACGATCCATCAGATGTCAACATTGCACTGCTTGTCAATTTATAATGCTATATCTCCTATCAATACAGGAAAACCCACCTTCACTCTGCAAAACTGATGTGAAAATAGGGGAGTGGGGAACTAAAGGCAGGAACACTGGACTTTACCGTGCATTGTATTGGCTATAATCATGTTCCATCTAATCTGATATTTGACATAATGATAATTCGATGTTCTCATGGGGTTTTCCCATGAGAAAGTATGTTTACCCCATACAAAAAAAAAAAAGGTCATCTGAGTTATTCAAAGCGTTTAAACTCAAGCAGCTGCAACGTCATCAAAGTCATCGTCAAAGAACATGCACAATTTTGGAAAGGATGCAGAGGGCCCTGATCTGGCACGTCTAAACAAATAATACAAAGCAAGGGTATCATTTCTTTTGGTTTCCATGTCAAAATATTAATTACAGAATTGAAATAAAAAATACATATATATATATATATAAATAAAAGAGGGCAGATTAAAAGAGAACAACTTCTCATCTCAACAAAATCGACAAAGGTTTACAAGGATTACACAAATCCCTTTATATAGTGACTGCCCTGGCAAGTCGTTTAATACACATGGAAGTGCTTGTTTTTTTTACTTAGTAGATACCACATTCTTCGGGAACTTGGTGATGTCATGTTTTATGGGATTTATATTCCCACAGGGTCAGTGAAGTGACAGGAGCTGTGAGAACAAGCTGGATCTTAAAATTACTGTTTCCTATTTTCACTCCCTCCCCTGACAACTATAAAGCATCATTTAAACAGAACTCTTACAGCAGTGATTGCCAAAAGGTTGATCTCCAACTATTATAGAACTACAACAACCATGATGCTTTCCCAGCCTTCTCAGTTATTTACACCACAAACACCATGTCCTTCAAGGGACACTATAGGCACCCAGGCCTGAAGTGGTCTGGGTGCAGTGTCCCTGTCCCCTTTAGTTCTGCAGTGTAAATCATTGCAGGTTTAGAGAAACATGATTACATTGCGGGACTATGACAGCCTCTCTAGTGCAGGGGTGCCTAAAAATACAGCTTCCACGATGCTTTGTCATTTTGAAGCATTCTAAAGCAATGCAAAGCATCATGGGAGTTGTAGTTCTAGCACTGAGGAAGATCAGGACTGGAGCTGGGTAAGTTAAAAAGGATATTTTTTAACCCTTGCAGTGCTGAGGAGGGGGGGGGACTATAATGCTAGGAATACAGATTTGTATTCCTTACACTATAGAATCCCTTTAAACATGTCTTTCTTGTTTTCTTTAAAAGTTACAATAAAAATGTAGCAAATGGAGGGGGCGGGGCCTGACCGCCGGTCTGATCAGACGTGTTTAGTCTGAGCTCCTGCTTCTGAGCTGAAAAATCGGAGCCAACTGCGGGCCACAAGCAGACACCGACCTGAAAATATGATGACAGCATTGATCAGGCGATGGGGTTTCCGGGGATACCTGAAAAGACTCCCTACGGCACCAAAGTAACCCGGTAGAGGCCTGAGGCCTACCAGCTTGAGCCTGGGTGAGACGGCCGCTCGCCCGGTTCTTCGACCGGCGCTCTGCCACCTCCCCCCCTCTGGACCGGGGGGGTCATCCCGGTCTCCACGGCTACCACCACTGCATGCCAAAACATCTCCACCCCTGCCTAGCCGAGCATTGCGGTCCAGTCAGCGTGCCCCAAGATGGCCGACCAGCACCTAACCCACGCACAATGGCGGGGACACAGAGAAGCGCACAAGCGACCTGACACTCTCCCACGGCTGGAGGCCGCGTCTGGAGGTCGCTGGCGAAATGGCACACGCATCCCCGGCTGCACGACTCCCATCATGGCGGCGGAGTGGAAGGAGATCAGTGCCGAGCCTCAAAATGGCGTTGGAGGGACTCACACTCAGCACCAACAGCCCAGCAGGGCAGGCATCGGCTGACCACGGAAGACCCCACAAGCTGAGGCCCAGACAACTCTCCCAGGCCCTGAAGTGGATTTCTGAGCAACAGCACTGACTCTCTGGGCATCGGGCTATATTGCCTCACAGACTCCTCTCTCTCTCTATAAAACCGCATATGCTGTTGGCGAACTGAGTGGGAAGCGTAAGCTCAAGTGAAGTCCTACTCACACCCGGATCTGCCAGGCAAAACAAATAGTTTAACGTTAATTTAACACTGTTTCTCTTTTTCCTTAACATGCTACATAGGCAAGTAACTTACAACACTAGCCTGCTTCACATAAGTTAGCGACACTTTACTATACCTCACTCACCATGCCTAGCTAGCCTCCCTGAGTTAACTTAAATGTATATTCCAACTAGGACATGTGGAACTAGCCTGCTCCCTCTCGAGATTTAACTTAATTTTACTCCACTGTCGTCTAGCTTAGCGCACTTATAACTACATTTACAGCATAACCATGTGTAGCCAGAATCTAGGAAGGGAGTGTTTAACCCAGTCTACCCCAGTTACATACTGCCTAGCTTGATTGTTACCCCCATTATCAACGAAGTTATTCTATGTTATGGAAGAGACTAAGTAATGATAATACATACTGTTTATTATCTGACGTAATCATATATATGTATAAAAATGTGCTAGCCTTAACAAGTACCTCTATGCCCTACTGTTTGAAATGCGCTAGAGGATTGCCTTTGGGGTACCTCACAAGCGACTGTTAAAAACTTACGCACTACAAAAATAAAGAATTTAAAAAAAAAAAAAAAAAAATGTAGCAAATGATATCAAAATCTAGTTCAGTCCAGACGCAGCCCGGGCACCATAGCCGCCATCAGGGGGTTACATCCAGTACAGCTTTACGAGGCCCAGGCCACCTGGAGCATCCAGCGAGCCTGGGCCCTATACCCCAATGTGCATATTTATATTGCAAGTATATATATATATATATATATATATATATATATATGCACTTGCTGGCTCTGCTGACGAGTATACTAAAGAAGAGACCCAGCAGGCTCTTGAATCCACCCCTCGCTAGCTCCTACTGTCTGAGCATTGCGGCAGGTTGCCATAGCACTCTCCATACATGCCGGTTTTGCAAGAGAGATAGATGAGCTGCTCTTTGGCTGCCGGAGGTGGAAGTTGGAGTCTGGGCTCCAACTTCACGAAAAAAGCCCAGTGGGGCCCGGACCTTGAGCTGTGGCTGATGGCAACCCTGCAGGGCACACATTGCAAATGAGGAGGAGAAAAAAAAGTGTTTAATCTTTCCTTTTCTCTATATGTTTACATCATGCTGATTGTGAGGTGCAAAGGACAGAGTTTATAGCAATGATTGACTGGGAGCTAAGATGGATGCAACCATTTGCAGGGTAAAAAGTTTTGGAATTTTGCATTTAATTTTTCTCACAAGTCAAAAATACGGTGTTTCCTTTGCAAATAAGACTGGGTCTTATATAAATTCCCCGCCCCCTCCCCCCTGGAAAAAGGCACTAGGGCTTATTTTCGAGGGATGTCTTATTTCAGATAACAACGGTAGCAAGCATGTGCTGGAAAGCAGGTCTACGTTCCGGAGAATTCCCACGAACATAGACCAGTTCTCTAGCGCATAGAATCCCGCAAATCTATGTTTGGGGAAACTTCCCCAAACATATATTAGCAAATTTGCGACTCGCAAGTAGGGCTTGTTTTCAGAGTAGGTCTTATACTACGAGCATCCCCCCAAATTAAGCTAGAGCATAATTTTGGGGGATGTCTTATTTTTGGGTAAAACGGTACATACTTGTGAAATGGTGATAAGTAAACATAATATTAAAGGATCCCTAAAATGTTATGAATACAAACCAGTTTTCCTAACACTATAGTGTCAAAGTTGTGGATTAGTTTTAGACCCCCACCTCTCTTTTCCGTAAAAAAGTGAAAAAAGTCAGAGCAGAGCAAGTAGAGAGGAGCAGGAAGCAGAGCAAGAAAAGGGGAGCAGAGAGCTGAGCAAGTAGAGGGAGCAGAGAAAGTAAGGGGGAGCAGAGCAAGCAAGGGGGGACAGAGAGCAGAGCAAGTAAGGGGGAGCAGAGCATGTAAGGGGGAGCAGAGCAAGCAAGGGGGGACAGAGAGCAGAGCAAGTAAGGGGGGCAGAGCAAGCAAAGGGGAACAGAGAGCAGAGCAAGCAAGGGGAAGCAGAGCTAGTAGAGGGGAGCCGAGCAAGCAGAGAGGAGTCTCAGACAGCTTGCATTGGTGTGTAGACAGTGATTGTAGACAGCTTGGATTGGTGTGACAGTGGCACCTTACCTAACTGAGATTGGAGACAGTTTGCAGTGTGGACACACGTAAAATGTGAAACCTTACCTACCTGAGAGTGCAGTTTGCAGAGGGACTGAGTGAGCGGAGCGGGCACTCTAAACAGTGGCATTACTACTGTAAGTAACGTAAACTTTAATTGAAGCTTTTGAGTAAATAATATTTATGTAAATAGGATTATATATTGTGCGTATAAGAATGAATCAAGTAATTTTAGTTGTAATTTGTGTTAGTAAAGGATTCACCAATTTCTATACAGGTCATAGGCAGGTCAGGGCACAAATTTTAGTTTAATGAAGTGGTTTTGGTGTGTAATCTCTGCAGTCTCACTGCTCAATTACATGCAGTTTAGGAATTAAATCTCCCTCTCCCTAAATATGAATGCTGCCCAGACCACCTTATTGAGATAAAGTGGTTTAGGTGACTTTAGTGGTCCTTTAAAGATCCCGTGAAGTGATGGTTGTCATTGAAGGCTTTCCAAATATTATGGGAGTTGTAGGTCAGGAGCAGCTCTATAGATCAATCTTTGGCCACCCCAGGCTTGGTTTCAGTTTAGTTTGTATGGCCTCCTTTGTCTATATAGCACTATATAGTTTCTCCGTATTCACAAAATCATTCACATTCAAGATCCTTTCAGGGTTTACTTTGAATCATTGTTCTCAAGTATACACATTCTCATTTAAATTGTTCACCTGAGAGAGGAGGAAGTAGTTCCCAACACAGGCTGAGAACATGACTGGGCTCCAGGAAGTAGAGTGCTTGTGATCTGTGAGAAGAGCTGGGGCCTAACCTTCATGGTAGATGGTTGCAGTTTCGGAGTGCTCCTTGTATGTGCACTATTATAGCCTAATTTCTAGCCTAAACCCACTTTCTAATTGACACAGCCTTGTGCCTTACCGATCCCTTGACCTAGGTGATCTATCCTGAGCTGACAGGAGGGCCAGAATTCTCAGATCATGCAACACAACGGGTCTGCAGCCTGGAGGTAGGGAGAGGCGGCCAATCTCCTGAAGCTGGCTGCATGGCTCAAAGCCACTGTGAGCACCACACAGCTTAATGAGAAGTGGAGAGCTGCTCCCTGTGTTGTGGCCACAGCGCTGATTTTAGTGTCCACTGATACAGCTGTTGTAAAACTCTGTTAATTCATTGATTTCTAAATTAGTCATACACGTCCGCTTCCAGCACAAGAAACTATTCTACTCCTCCTTGTGACCAGGGCAGACAAGAATGAGGTTCATCTGCCCAATGTAGTCAAATACTTAAAGGGACATTATATTGCAGGCTTCCTCAAACTCCGGCCCTCCAGATCTGGCTGAACTACAACTCCCATGATTTTATGAATGAAATACATAGGCTGAGAATTATGGCAATGGTAGTTCAGCAACATCTGGAGGACCGGAGTTTGAATACAAATCTGTATTCCTAAAGCTATTGTGCCCCTGGGCCTAGATCTATACAGGTCGTGTGACATAAAATTAATAAAATAAAAGCTGTGCTTACCTCTTTCCAGAGACATGGCTCCCTTGGCACTGCTCACCTCTCAGACTCCCACAACATTATGCCTTTTCCGGCGATGGTCCAAACCAAAGCTCCTCAGAGAGGAGTACTGGGGACCTGATATGCATGCAGAATTAAAAGGACAAGGCCAATGAAACCAGTGTCAGGATTACTAATTGATCCAGCACGTAGAATTGTGTCAAACCTAGGACTAAAAGGTAATGTCTTACTAGGCCTTAGAATGGCCGGACTAAACGTACCAGAAAATAGTCAGAATACTTGCCGGGGTCAGGGACACAGAAGGAGACACAACAATGAGGGAAAGCCAGAAGTCAGGGAAACCAGAATACAGGGAAGTCAATACAAAGCCAAAGTCAATAACCAGAAATAAATGCTCAGAAACACACTCTTAGACAACCACTAGGGAAACCATAACAGGGCAATTATGAAAAGGCATAAGAAGTTTAAATAAACCTATTTTGGCTCTGATTGGCCGAAAAAAGGCCTTTGACCCCAGAACGTGCGACTTCGTCATCAATGTGGGCGGACGTCGGGATATAATTTGGCGTGGATCCTCAGCGGCAGGCGTCATTTAACATGTTGCAGGAGTCAGGTATACAGACGCATGACCGCTGGGCGCAAATGCCGCAAGGTGAGGCTGAATATTTTACACCCAGACCACTTCACTAATATTATTTAGAGCTAATTTTCAACTCATTTGATACAATACTCAAGAATTTCTCATACAACATGGGGACCTCTCACAGATCACAGGATAAAGTGGGGTGTCAGAGTAAAGTACCTAAAACAGAACTTCTATTGTAATGTCTTGCAAAATCACACATCATCACAATTACAAAACCACCAGGGATTAGCATGCTTGCTCAGTAGTCGTATATGCCAATAAAATACAGTTATCCCTAGTACATAAAAAAAAGTACCCAAAAGTAATGTTGACTAATAGAGAGTTCAAGGAAGAGTGGAATCTCAAACCAGTTAAATAGAGCGACCAATGTAGTACCTCACAGTATATGTACTACTATTATAAAGGAGGGCATCAAACTAATGTAACCATGAGTATTATAATATAATATTATCAGGGTTATTCACTAAAGTGAGAATTATCGTAAATTTCAAATAAATTAAAATTGAATTTCAAATTTAAAGGACCACTATAGTGCCAGGAAAACATACTTGTTTTCCTGGCACTATAGTGCCCTCAGGGTGCCCCCACCCTCAGGGTCCCCCTCCCGCCCGGCTCTGGGGAGAGGAAAGGGGTTAAAACTTACCTTTCTCCAGCACCGGGCGGGGAGCTCTCTGCCTCCTCTCCGCATCCTCTCCTCCCTTTCAGCTGAATGCGCACGCGCGGCAAGAGCTGCGCGCGCATTCAGCCGGTCTCATTGGAAAGCATTTACAATGCTTTCCTATGGACACTTGCGTGTTCTCACTGTGATTTTCACAGTGAGAATCACGCAAGCGCCTCTAGCGGCTGACAATGAGACGGCCACTAGAGGATTTGAGGGCTGGATTAACCCATTTATAAACATAGCAGTTTCTCAGAAACTGCTATGTTTATAAAAAAATGGGTTAACCCTAGCTGGACCTGGCACCCAGACCACTTCATTAAGCTGAAGTGGTCTGGGTGCCTAGAGTGGTCCTTTAAGGCCAAAGTAGCTGAACTGGAAAAATTCTCCTACTCAGCTATGCTTCCAGACAGGCTATGATTCTCAACAATTCTCCCTTATAACCCTGTTGATGTGCCCAATCAGTGGTAAGGAACTCATTAGGCTCTGAATAACTGATACTTTATGCAATGTATCCCACGCTGTAAAATATCTTCATACTTATTCTGTAGCTGTAACCATCTAGATTTAGGGTAGTGAACTAGATATGGAATGTATTGGAAGTCAAGAGTGCTGTTACTTTAATTACCCATTACTTCTCTAATCTGTTTGCCCTGGCTCACATTTAATCATTAACATAGCTTTTTAGTGACAGTTCTTCTCAAGATTTTATCACCACCTAACAGTCCATCAAAAGCATTGCAATTAAATCATTCACCATATATAATATTCCCATCATCCATTTCTTTATAAGGCAATATATTGTTCTGAGTTTTATTAATCTACATGACCATATATTATACTTTAGCATAGAATCGCAATTACTTCCAAAACAAACCAACTCTGTGACCTCACCTCTTCTCTGATGTCCTATTTCTCGTTGTCCCCGTTACCTATGCTCCATAGCCTAAAAATGCATTTCCTTTTACTAATCCAAACTGTTTATTAAAATTCGCTAGAGCCAAACTAACTTAAACATTGGAATCATTAACACAGTTCTCCCTTTAGACAGATTTACAATGAAACACAAATGTATATGTTGTGATGTATCTATGTGACATCCCACCAGTGGCGGATTCGGGGGGGGGGCAACGGGGCAATTGCCCCACCCACCCTCTCCCGGAGAAAACCGACGGTCTCCCTCTCCCCTGCCAGCACATGCAGGTGCTAGCCCTGCAATGTGCCTGTGGACCGGAGAGGAGATCAGAGATCTCCCTCCCCGGTCCTCAGGCACTGTGCTGGCAGCCGCAGGGGAGGGAGAGAGGACCCAGGAGCTCAGCCTGCAGCTCCTCTGGGTCCTACTCTCGCGAGCACGGAGCGTTGCCGCGGTTACCACGGCAACGCTCCAAATCTCGCGAGAGTGAACTCTAGCCCTGGAGCGCGGGCTAGAGTTCACTCTCCCCACTCGGACCACCAGGGAATCCCCACCGGACCACCAGGGATTGAAATATGTCGATAGGGAGGGGGGACATAAATATATTTATTTTAATTAAATAAATAAAAAAATATATATAGTATAAAAAAAGCCCCCCTACCCTTATCACACACTCTACACACATACACTGCCCCCATACACACACACTGCCCCCCATACACATACTGCCCCCATACACACATACTGCCCCCATACA